AAAACACTCACCCAGCTTACTCTCCAGATCTAAATCCCATAGAGCATGTGTGGGATGCATTAGGGAGACGTCTTGCGACACGACAGTATCCTTCTGGTAACACCCATCAGCTGAAAGATGCGTTAAAGGAGAAAGGGAGACGTTTACCCCAAGAACTACTGGATAATCTGGTGCTTAGCATGGAGAGACGATGCCAAGCAACAATTACAGTAAGGTGAGGGCATACTAGGGAACATCTGCCAGTTGTACTTACGCTTCTTCAGGCAATCATGTGTAATATGTCAAATAAAGCCTTTTTTTTGTTCCATACCCTACTTTAAGCTTTATATTCACATCTGCGCCACTATTCCTTTACCATCGTTTAAGTACAAAATAATGTACATCATATTCAAATTTCATGTTAATCAGATGATTTCTTGTAGAGTTATGACAAAAAACGCTCTTGTTACTTAAGTTTTGCACACCAGTGTATTTAATCTCTCGCGAGGCATTGTAGACCGATTCCGTGCTTTCATGCGTCGCATTGTGCTAAAAGTGCGTTCAATAGTGCACGTGGTAGCTGGAAGAGTTAGGCCAATTTTTATTGCCTCAGCTACAGCTGGTTAAAACGGTGTGGCCTCAATAACTAAATCGATGTATTCGAGGGATTCATAAGAATTTTCTCTATTCCTCCACATTTCGTACCACGTAAATTCGTACTTTTTTTTAAATATATTGTTAACAATGAAGAAATGTATATTGAAAAAAATTAACAGATTAAAGTATGTGTAATAACAAAACAAAATGTAATAACAGAATATTTTAAATTTTTTTTCTGGGGGAGGGTAGTTTGTTAGAGGGTTGCACCCCCTTTTATATTATTCTGCCGGCGCCCTTGCCCATAATGATTGTGAGGAGAGGAGGGTGCAAACCCATTTCAAGAATCTCTGCTGTTTTTCCCGTAGCTGTGGTTTTTTGTTTATGTACAGTGACAGCACCTAGCCTTGGGGGATTGGTTTACATTATGTCTATGGAAGCTAGACTTCTTCCTCTATGTATATTCTTTGAAAATTGGATAGCGCAAAAAATATGTTTTTCCCCCTACTAATGCTGTGTTATTGTTTTCTTTTAGATTTGTGTATGGAAAGAAAGTGAATGGTTTGGTAACATTTCGACTTGGAGTAAAACAAATGATGGCTGCCAAACAGGTTTTCTTTGCTGTAATTGGTCCTAAAGAGGCGAGTGAGAGAGTTCTATGCAACAAAACTTGCACTATTATCGAATACTTTTTAAAGTGTCAGATTATGACTAGCCTCACTTTTTTAGATGGAGTGTCGAAAATTATTTTCATTTATTGGTTTAAAATATTGGCATCTTATTTTTTCCACGCTTAGCACGGTTAAACATAACTACGAGGGGCATCCAGTAAGTAGGTTTCCCTATTTTTTTTAAAAAAAAGAACCCACACTTTCAGGAATATATTTATTGGTCACAAGTACAGCAATGTTTCAGTTATTTTTCAACATAGCCACCACCAGAATTGAGACACTTGTCATATCGTGGGATCAACTTTTGTATCCCTCTGTCGTAGAACTCTGCCCCCTGTGAATGGAACCTCGTGGTAAAACAGTAAACGCTGACCGTTACTGTGAAACACTGCGGAAACTGCGACGTGCATTCCAAACAAGAAGCTTGAAATGCTTATTATGCTCCTCCATGACAATACTCGTCCACATACGGCTCGACTCACAGCAGGTGTTTCGACGGAGTTTGGCTAGGAGTTGTTTGATCATCTACCCTACAGCCCTGATCTTGCTCCTAGCTATTTTCACGCTTTCTTGCACCTTAAGAAATTCCTGTCCTCCGGTGAGCGTTTTGGCAGAGATGAAAAGCTGTAGATGTCTGTCACACGCTGGTTCCAGTCACTGGCGGCAGGGTTCTATGACAGAGGGATACAAAAGTTGATCCCACCATGCGAGAAGTGTCTCAATTCTGGTGGTGCCTAAGTAGAAAAATAGCTGAAACATTGCTGTACTTGTTGCCAATAAATATGTTCCTAAAATTGTGGAAAAAAATAGGGAAACTTACTTTCTGGATGAACCTCGTATAATTGTCATATATAAAAATTTCGACTTTTAACAGATACTATGCAATTGTTGTAGAAAATAAATATTGCAGTATGAGCAATTTACACAGGCATCATATCTAACTTAAATTCCGTTGTGATAATAATGATACACAACTGTAAGCAAAAAATAAAAGAGACTTCTGCCCTAGTACGGGCGAGTGGAAGGGATGTGTTTTGTATGTATTTCCTTTACTAGTACCTTTTATTTAAAAATAAATAAATAAAGGAAATAGAATTCATTTACTTTACAAATTAAAACTGTTTGAAACCTGGAGCATGAGGAACCATAATATTGTTCAGCTTTGCTGCATTCTCAATATGATGCTAAGTTGATCCATAATATCATTCAATTTTGATGTTGTTGTTGTCGTGTCTATGCTAGTGCAAAGATTATAGTCCTCCAAAAGTCTTGATAACAAGATTTGCAAGTTCTGGAGCGAGCCCGATGGCCATGGAGAATTTCGATGGGAGGTGCTCCAAGTTGAAAGAGGGAGTTAGTTGCAAATGAGGTCTGGTCATGAGGTCTGGTTGCACATGGTCTGGTGTTAGTTGCAAATGAGGACAGTACTTGCAGATGGGATAGTATTTTATATGAGTGCGTGAGATCTTCATGCCCTTGAAATGTCTAGTACGTAGCCTAGCTATTGTAGAGGAGAGGTTTCTTGGGCAGTTTAGATCGGGGATTGTTGCCTTGCTAAAATGCTGGTTGTATAACCTCCGTCTGGCGACAGCATTCGCATCTGCACAGGTGACAGCTCGAGGTTGATCTTCGTCGCGTGCTTCCTTTTCAAGGGCATCTGCGCATTCATTCCCCTTGATTCCAACATGAGCTGGGATCCACTGGAGAGTGCAACGGATATTTACTAAATGAAAAAGGGTATTAATTTCTTGCGTTATTGATGTTTTACCGTTATGATTCAATTTTGATGCAATCTCAATATGAGGCTAAGTTGAGCCATAATATCTTTCAGCTTTGCTGAAATATCGATGTGGTGCTAAGTTGACCCATAATATCGTTCAGCTTTGCTGCAATCTTAATATGGAGCTAAGTTGAACCATAATATTGCTCAACCTTGTTGTAATCTCAATAGGGCGCAAAGTTGAATCACTTTATAGTGTTTCGTAAATTAACACGAAATTAAGATTAAATTAGAAAGTAAACTCAGTTTTAACTAGAAAGTAATTTACATCTTAATTGAGGTTGCAGCACATTTCTGCCACATTATGATTCAAAGTACCGATGTTATGATTCAGCTTTGAACTGATTTTTTTAAAAGTGTTCTGACACACTAAATAAAGCAATGAATGAATATAAAAATATTTACCTATTTGTTTGCGTAATTGTTTTGATATCTTTTAAATTTAAAAAAAAATTCTTCTTCTTCATCGTAATGTAATAAAGAACAATATAAGTAGTAGTATAATAAAGAATCGTATAAGAATGAAGAGCATTAGCTCTTACCTTTAGTTAACACGTTTGCCGTTGCCTCGAGAAATAAATAAACAAATAAAAAAGAGAGATGTTGAATTTTTTATTCATCAGGTTCACAAAAAAAGTATAAGATTTTTCTTAATAAATAAAATTTAATTAACAGTTATAAGCATGTCTTTTAGAAAATGGTGTAACGTTTATGTACCATGAGCAATTATTAATCATTTTGCTTATAAGGACATTTAATAAATAATCAGTTTGAGATCATTAAACTATGTAATTAAAAAAATCGAGATGAGACGAAAATGTTGCTGCTTGTGTAGTGAAATGAATTATTCTGTCAGAGTAGTTGTCAGTCTGTGGGGGCGGAGTTATCGACCATGCCAACCTTCGTCTATCAAAAGGTACCTCGAGATTGAATAACGAGGTACCTATTAATAGATGAAGGTTGGCATCGTCGATAACTCCGCCCCCACATTGGTGACCTCCGGACGTGATTTGTACACGCAGTAACGCCCACTTCGCAAAAATCATGACAGTAACGCCTACTTCGACGGATAGTCGACATTGACTACTTCGACATTGAACAGTTGACTTGCTACTTGTGAATGCAACACAGAGCAACAACGAACGCTACGACGTGATGTTAATACACCTCTCACATTCAGCACTCAACAAAGCTCTCCCGGTCTTTCACAAGTACAGCAACTAGTGTTATCAATTCATCGAATTCTCTCCCTGATAAAATTCTGGTAGGGGAGCAATGTGGCATAACTACCACTACGAAAATTAAACTTCAATTCACTGGTATGTAAGACATGCTAACTTGATTCAATCACGAGGTACCTTTTGATAGATGAAGGTTGGCATCGTCGATATCTCCGCCCCCACAAGTCCTTCCATTTCTGAAAGCGAAGAGTAATGGTACTATTGAAATTCGTTAAATATATAGTCTATGATTCCTTATTTATTGACTGTATTCGGTTAGACTTTTTTTGAAACATTGTGTTGAATACTAAGCATGCCATTTCTAAATTCTTTTCTATTTATCGGAAATTATTTCGTAAAAGTTTTATTCTCTTTTTTTTAAAATTATTTTTGATGAAAGAACTTACATTTGATAGAAATTCCTTTTCAGCTTGATGATGGTTCCTACACATTGAGATTAGATACTAAAAATTTAGCTCACCATAAGGATATTGGATGGTTTCCTGAAATAGAAGGTTCCCATTTAGTCGTTGAAGCTACCGTAGTGGATAATGCTAGTGGTAACAAAGAAGTTGCAACAGACTCTCGAGGAATATTTGCGAAATCCCCATTCAGTATATCTTTCAAAAGATGCCTACAAGATTTCAAACCTGGTCTTGTATCAGTTTTTGAGGTACATTGATGCTTTACGTACTCTTATAGTTTTAAATAATCATAATGGAAAAAAATGCATAAAATGTCCCTCCTAAATTTATCTATTTTTTTTATTCTGCATAAGTAGCAATAGTCTGACATACGTAAACTGATTGTTCCTTCCAAAGTTCTCAATCGATGGAAACGCACTGAGGTGTGTATTCTGCTCATAAGAAATTCCTTGGGAAACTTCGTCATATATTTGTCATAAAAGAACCTCTAGGATATCCCTTTGGGTTTTTGCCACTGGAAAATTTTTCCCATACACTTTTGTCATATGCTTTTGACAAAGTTTTGGCATGGTGAACATTTCCTATGTCGCACACCTGCCATACAGCACGTCAACAATTTTCCCTTCGGTATTTTATCGTACCTAGACAAACTTATTACTTACACATATGATGGGTTTCCATTAACTTGCTAAATATGCATGGACTTCTCATAAGGTAACCATAAATGTACGGCGTGTTGCCATGAGTGTATGGCTCATTTTCAAATTTTCATAAGAGACCCATTGGCTTATGGTATCTTGCCATATGAATACCATACAAATTACTACGGTTTCCATAGGTTACCATAGATATTATGTTGGGTGAAGTATCCAAAGGGTTTACTTTTCGACTAACCCCATTAATGTAAGCAAAATGTAGAAACTTCATAATAACTATATAATGATGTTCCCATAAGATAACCATAAATGTATGGTGTGTTGCCATGAGGGCATGGCTCATTTTCACATTTTCATTAGAAAACCNAAATATTTAAATAGGTAGCCAAAGTTAGCGAAAGATTCCATTAGTGGTGGAATACACGTTAATATGGCTGTCTGATGCTCTAAGCCTAAATCAGTGGAACATCGGATTTCAAACACTCAAAAATGGAAAAATTGGCCACCCGGAGGCCGGAAAAGACTCACCAGGAATACCTTGTGGGATAGCATGTTGAATTTAATTAACTTCGGGGTGAAAAAATTGATATTTCCTTCTTTTAGAAGATATTTTTGAGGACTCCATAGAAGATGTTGTTTCGTTGGTGGGAATCTAGATCAGCTTTTCCTTATGGTATACAGCCATACAAATCTTTATGGTTACCATTGGCCTATGGTATACTGCCATACAAATCTTTATGGTTACCATTGGCCTATGGTATACTGCCATACAAATCTTTATGGTTACCATTGGCCTATGGTATACTGCCCTAAACATTTTTATGTTTGTCATAGGAGAATGGTGACGTGCCATATAAATGCCATACATGTCTCTATGGTTACCATCGGCCTATGGTATCTTGCCATACAAATTTCTATGGTAGCCATAGGCTTATGGGGTTGTGCCATACAAATCTGTATGGTAACCATAGGCGTATGGGGTTGTGCCATACAAATCTGTATGGTAACCATAGGCGTATGGTATCTTGCCATACAAATTTCTATGGTAGCCATAGGTTGCCATAGATTACCATAGGTTTCTCTATGGCAAATTTTCCTAAGGGTATGGTTTCCATAGGTTACTATTTTTACTGTAGATTATCATAGATATTATTTTGGGGGAACTTTCCGAAAGGGCTACTTTTCGACTAGCCCTGTATTTGTTATCAAAATGTAGAAATCTAAACTATAAATTTTAATTTATAGTTTCTTAAGATATTTTTTTAATTTTTTTAAAAATATATTATATTACATTCCACATTATCTTTACACAATTTTAAATTTTTGGAATGTCGTTACTTTTTATAGGCTTGATATAAAAGCCTAAATTTTTTATCTTCACATAATTTTTCTCACTCCGTTTCAAAGAGCTATCACTGTGTTGTTTTCTATTAATTGATTAAATTCGCCCAAAATTTATAGATTTGTTTAAGACATGTATTCTTTATAATGTTTTTGCCTTGAATTTTAAATTGTCTTCTTTGCAAATTGTATCTTTTAGGCAGATATAAATTTTGTTGATGGAAGACCTGCAGTTGGTGTCCCCACAATTTTGAGAGCTGTTGCCAAAAGTAATAAGGACAACTCAAAAGAGTTGAAAGTCACTCAAACAAATGCCGTTAGTGATGATGAAGGAAAAGTTTCTTTCGAATTACAACCGGAAATTCATCACGAGACTGTATCCATAACGGTGAGTTTTTTTACTGACCTAATTTCCGCAGTGTCAAAATTCAGTGTATTATATAACGAGCAGCCACATTTTTATATGTTCAGGAGAGTGCTGATTTACTGCGTTTTGGTGATAAATACCACGATTTCCATATAGGCATGAAAAAAGTTCCTGCATGCTGTGTTATTATCTAAAGAAAATTTCGGAAACATGTATAATGTCTATCTGGAAGCATTACTAAGGAACAGTTCGTTATTGGAAGAAATATGACTTTTCGCTATATTACTCAATCCGAATTTAAAATTTTTTCATTTGAATCCTTTTTTATTTAAAACGAAGTTAACTGAAAGAAAAAAAATATTTTTTAAAAAAATTTAATGAATTTTTTCGTTAATATTTTAAAAGAAAAAATAGTTTAAGTTCTTGCTAGCTTTTTATCTCACTTTTTATTGCACATTAATTTTTAACATTTTTCTGTCTTAAAATGTTAAACTATGCATCATTTTATATTTTGTTTCGTAATAAATAAAACGAAATAGATTTTATATGCATTAGAAACTTAAACCCAAGTAGGCATAAATGAAATTAAAGACTGATGTTTATATCAATATAAAAACTAAATAAATTTCTAATGTTTAAAGAACAAATCTAACTTTAATTTTTTTTAAAAAAACTCCAGATTGAAACAGATGATCCGCGATACGTTGGAAACCAGGCTGTCGGCCATTTTGAGCAACATAAGTTTAAATCAACAAATGAAGCATATGTTGCCATAGAAAGAAGTAGTTCTCAAAAACTCAAGGTATGTTAGTCCTAGCATGTTGTTATTTTTTTTATTTTGTATCTTGGAATAATATCAATATATCTTTTCTGTTAGATGCAAAAATATTTTTAGATACCGTCATATGGGGCTACTTTGTGCAGGATTTCGCAGTTTTTGAGCTTTGACATGTAAAAAAAACTATGTTAATTCAAACTTTAGTAAAATCTATCAATATTATATTCATAACTGGACTCAGACGAGTGAATTTGATCAATATTGGCATTATTTGTTATTTTCATAACTATTGTAAGTTTGCAACAGTTACTCATGACAAGTATAACTTATCTAAAGCTATCTTAGCTTATCTACGCTTATTTTGAAAATGGCGCGTAACGTCAATGTGGAGAAAAGCTTTAGTTTTGTTGAAATGAGAAGCGTTTGCATTCTAATTTTTTAATTTTTGAAGACATATTCTAATGTTGTATTATCTGGGCTCATAAAAATTTGCAAAAAACAGAAGAAGGCAGTGACTTTGATAATTTTTTTCCGGGTGGTAAAATGTCGCCAAATTGACGATTTTTAAAAAAAGTTTAATAACTTTCAAAATATTTAAGTTGTTTGACCTTTTTAAAGCCCAGATAATTCTGCACAATATTCCTCATATATATAGTTTAAAATCACAGTTTTGCTTCAAATGTAAGGCACTTAAACTATGACTTTTTTTAAAATTTTTATTTTCCTTGGCAGCACAGCTTCGAAAAACCATGTTAAAAGTGAATACATACTAGGAAAAGATATAAAACATGTTCGCCTATTCAATAAAGCAAGAAATGTTATCTATTTGTGGTAAAAAATAATACGAAATGCATTAAAGTGTGATATGTTTTCCTCCTTTTAATAGATCGTTAAATGTATTACGTTATTACAANATAAATAAAAAATTTTGCACTTACGACAATTGTTTTATCAACGTCTTTGCATTTCACAGCTAAAGTTTCCACGCTCAATTTTCGACGTCCGTCGTTCTCAGAAAGTTGTTGACATTGGATAAACAAAACACACTCTGAGATTGTTTTAAAAATCGAAAATTTTTTTGTAGCAATAGAGGAGACTTCCATCTTCAAATTCCACCCATTTTTAACGTGAAAGAAACATAATACTGAATAGCAACACTTGAAAAGTGGCAAATTCGAATTTGCACAAAGTAGCCTCACATGACGGTACTTAAAATTTGCTAGCATCTTTTTCGAAAGAAAATGTTATAAGATCCTTAAAATGTTTTTCGTATCTCAATTAGAGTCTCGATAATTCGAGGCTAATGGGACCGAGCCTACTTCGAACTTTCGAAAGCTCGAATTATCGAAAACTTAGAATTTATTGAATATTTAAACAAATGGAAATAAAGTAATTTTTAAATTTCAGTATTTAAATTATATTATCTATTAAATTTAAGGACAATTTATTTACATTAGAAGATCAGAGTGCAATAACTGCATTATACAAAAACACAATCTTCATTATATTGCTGCATCAGGTTAATTGTACTTTAAAATAATTGTTTGTTTTTTGTTTAAACATACTGTTCGCATGTTTCAGTGTTCAACACACACATTTGTTTTTCAACATGCAATTGTAGTAATCATCGTGAGACCAATCGTAGTAATCGTTCCACGTGTTGTGTGTGTGCTTTGCTTATTGTATGGGAATAAGACTGATTATTTTTTCACTGGCTCGGACTTATGGGAAATTCGAACAATTGAGACTCTGTTATAGATGGAAAAATGTTTTAAGGTCCCTAAAAATTTTTTAGTATCATCATGGATGTAAAAATGACTTCGGAACTATAAGATATTTTAGTATCCTCATAGATATAAAAATGTTGTCAGATACTTAAGCTAAGTTTTTAGTATCTTTTTCGATGGAAAAATTTTATAATATCATTAAGTTTTTCTTATATTTTAATCTGAAAAAATTGCTTTAAAATTGTTTTTTAATACCTTTCAAGATGCAAAACTATTTTCAGAAGCTTTATTTTATAGTATCCTTACCACCAGAAAATTTTAAACCATCCTTAAATTTTCTAGTGTCTTTTTTTTTTTTTTGATGGAAAAATGTTTTAAAATCAAAAAGATTTTCTAGTATCTTCATAGATAGAAAAATGTTTCAAAATTCTGTTAATTTTCCAATATCTTTATCGATGGAAATGCTTAACCCCTTCCTTCTCGCTCCTGTGAAAATGACGGGGTGAGGTTTCGCCCTCTATTTCTCGCTCCCGTGAAATTTCCGGGCTGGAGTGTTCAGTAGTGACGCGCCAATGAATTAATAAACTAAAAATTTAAAACTAATAAAAACTAATAAAACTTAAAAACTAATAAATTTAAAGACTAATTCATTTCTTTTGCCCGGAAAAATTTTATTTCTCATTTTACACACCAGATGGCAGTACCAGGATATTTTTAAGGCAATTGTAGAAATTGTAGAAAAGAGATGAAGGAAACTTGGCAGAGCTGACCTATCAAGCAATATTGGAGCAAAAAAGTTCACAAGTTAACGTTATGTTAGTATTGTGCTTATGTTAGCTCTTTGGAGCAAAAATAGATGATGAGTCGGCCTGTCTAATTCAGGGGCTCTAGGTACTACTGTCCAGATTGTGACGTTGGCCTCTGTATCTCATGCTTTGAAATTTATCACACAAGAAAAAATTACTAATCTCTATTTATATTATGCGTAAATTTAATAAAATTCTGTTTTAATGCTTAAAACACAGATTTTTTAAATTTTCCTTGCTTGATAGAAAACCAACTAAGTCCTGAATGTTGGCTTTTCCTAAAAATTTAATTTTTTAAAATTTCAAGCTAAAAACAAATCAAAAATTAAAAATGAATATAGATATATTGTTCATACACATATTTTTATCTAATTTTCAGGGATAAAAAAAATAGGCACTTTTATGATTGTTTTCTAGAAAATTAACCGATCATTAAAGGGTTAAAGATATTAAAAATGTTTTTAATGTTTTGGTGGATACAAAAATTTTTTAAGACCTTTAAGAAATTTAAGTATTTTAATCAGTAGAAAAATGCTTTGAAATTCTTAAGATTTTTTTTATCTTTATTGGTGCTAAAATGTTTTAACATCTTTAAGATATTCTAGTATATTTCTCTATTATCATTTTTGATAGAATAATGATATAAAATTCTTAAGATTCTCTATCATCTTTGTGTATAGAATAATGCTGTAAGATTTCCCTGTTTATTATTTATATAATTCTAAATTATTTTAAAAACTGATTTTTATATTTCTTTAGTTTGTATTTACTTAATTTTTAATTTCAATTTCAATCATAATAATATATGGAGTACAGAGTTAACTAATTTATTATTTTTTATAATTTCTGGATATAATTCTTGTCGTCTTAATGGCTCAAAAATATTTTAATGTTTTGATGTTAATTTTAATAGGTTGACGATATGTTTGTTAAAGTTGTTCATTTTGAGCCTGGTGAAATTCAGAATACCTATTATACTGTAAGTTTTCTTTTCTGCACTTTCTTTTATTTTGTTTGTCATGTTATTTCTCTTATTTGTAAATTCTAATAGATAAACATCTTAATTTTAAAAATAATTGAAATATATGATTGATTATTTAAGTAATATTAAAACATTTATTTTCTGAAAAGGTATAATGGCGTATAAAATAATAATAATAATAGTATTAGGGTAACTCTGATCTTTTGCTAATGAATTTCAATTGAAAAATACCTTAATTTGGGCACACGTTTTTTCTCACTGAGCCAATACCTTTTGTTTAATTTAAAATACAAATGGCTACATTTTAATCGTTTATTAATTAACATAAAAACATTGATTTTGCAAGAAAATATTTATATTTTTAACCTCATTAATTTCAGATGTTAAACATTTTTTCAAAAGTAGATTGATCAAAATAAAGTTTTTTTAAAGTCAAATAACATTAAAATTTTTTAAAAAAGCAATAAATAAAATTAGGTTTTGTAGATCGACATGTCTAATAATAATAATACAATTTTCAAAACATCACCGCCAAGCCAATGTATGCTTTGTTTAAATTTGCAATAAGACTTCCGGGTTATTATTTCCAACTGATTTTTATGCCTAATCTCGCAATATTATTATACTTGTAGTATTTTTGATATAACATGTTCTTTCAATTTAACTTTCAACGAAACAAACAACATATGAATTCGGAAGACTCCGCAAGCTTGCTATGATACCCAAAATATAACAAACTGTGCTATTTTACACAAATATAGTCAAATAAGGAATAACACTCAAAACATGGCAAACCTTGGTTGTGTTGGCTGGTTCTAATGCCACTTGCCACACGAGCAAGCCTGCTTGCTGAAACCGAGCAAATTTAAGGCAGAATGTGCGTTTCTTGTTTCTCAGTGGCGCCATCTATGACCAAGAATACGACTTCTGCCACACCAAACGTCACACCTGTTTTATAGGGCGGACCTATTCATACATCCGTTCATTCATCAACAGATCGTAATTTTGACCTGAATCAGAGAACGATCGATCTCCAATGCGTACTGGATTGGCGATATTGATTTGTTATGGGAACATGGAGGACTTTTGCGACTTGACAGATTTAACTTGCATCAGTCACTTTAGTATCTTCGGCCGGCGGAGTTCGAACCCATGAACTTTCGAACATGGGCCCGGCACCCTACCGACCAGGATATCCCGGCTGGCAAACCTTAAACCTCATTTATACTGCTATATTAATTTATTTAAATTTGTTTTATGGCTCAGAACCTGTTAGAAATTATAAATTACAGAAAACTCTTATGATTACTACGCCTAAATTTAAACACAAATCAAAATAATAAAACTTCCTAGAATATTAAGCTTGTTCACACATCGCCCTGTAAGCATAACATAAGCTAAGGGATACACCGAAAGTTTTCTACATTTCTTAAGGTTTTAGGAAGCTTGTCATTGCTTACATTCATTTAGCCATTCATAGGAATTTTAATTATAACTAACTGGTTTAAAATTATAACTAATAAAATTCTTTATCTAATTGAATTTTTAATTGTATTTTTCATTTCTTTGAAGGTTTCGGCGAAAGGCAAAATCATATTACAGAAACCTTTTCAGCAAGGCCAAGTGAAAGTGCAGCGTGTCGAATTTGTAATTACTCAAGATATGGTACCTAATTTTAGGCTTACAGTTTTCGCACATTACAAGGACGAATTATTAGTAGATTCTTTGAATATTGATGTTGAAAATACTTGCAATAAAAATGCTGAGGTAATGTAGAAATTTTTCAAAACCAAACTGACTTATTTAAAATAAAATATCACAGACAGTCACATATAGGGTGTTCTGTAATGATCGTCTTTAATAGTATATATATATTTTTAGAATTCTTGTCCAAAAGGAAATGCAAAAAAGGATGCCCATCTGGAATCATAAATTAATATTTAAACAGAATAAATGAAATAGTTCGACTATTAAAAAAGACTTAGAGGAGTGTGAAGATAAATAATAGAAACAAAGTCAGGCAATCAAAGGGGTTTCCAATAAGCCTTGCTATGCATGAAACTTAAAATCTAATTCAATCTAATTCAATTTAATCTACTGATTGCTCATGTACAATATGGAAAACTGGCGAGTGACCAATAAGAATGAATAAAAAAATCTTAATTAAATGATTGTTTAGAGATAAGAAGAGGACATTAGAACTTACATTTTTCACATATTAGAACTTGACAACAAAAAGATGACAGCATATCAACTGATCTGTTTCCGTCTTCAAATGGATGTTTACTTTTTCAAGTAATTTCTGGTTTATCATTCATAAAAATTCATTAACCAGAGAAAAAAAAACTGAAAAAAGGACAAAAAAAAATTTAATCAAAAACAAAGTTACAAAAAAAAATATTTGCAAAATTATTAAATTTTTTTTTCAAATTTTAAAAATATGAATTTTTTTAAAAAAAATAAATAAATAAAAATTTAATAAAATTAAATTATTTTAATATTTTTAAAAAGATTTAAATTTCTTTACATAACATTTTCAAAAAGAATCCTTCTCTGTTTCTGTTACTATCAGTTATCAGACTAGTTTTAATGGGAACAAAGGCAAAGTTCCTTAATAGCGTTTATATATATTTACCTTATCAATTAGGTACCTTACCTTATAATAAACAATGCTTGCACAAATGAAAATATGTTATAGCGGCAGAAATTTTGCAGCCACTGCAGCGTCACTATTTAATCACATGAGAACATTTTAAGTGAATATAAAATCGAGTTGAGGATGTGAAAAACTGGAAGCAATACAATTTTAAACATTAAATTTTTAAAACATTAACATTTTTAAACATTAAATTTGAAATGACACAGAGTAATCGAATCATTCTTTTGCTACACAAATCTTGCGAGTCGTAACTCTTCAATTACTTAAAACCAACTTTATCAACAGTGGCAATAAATTTATGAGAAATAATTATTTGGAATGCTCTGAAGATTGATGAACAGTGTTCCAAAAGAAGACCGCTCTGAATAAGTTTTGATCAAATGATCAGATCTTCACGTTTTGGGACTCAATCTAAATGGTTCGAGGGGGTGACTTCAAATATGTTAATTAATTAGTGCAGACCATAAAGAAGTCGTATATTTGAAATTCGATTTCTCAGGAACTATTTTACCGATTACGGTCAAATGTTGCAATTTTGTGTTTGCACTTCATTTGTTGAATCCTCATATTTGATGAATAAAATACAATGATTCTTTACTATTGTGATAAGAATTCTTTCCAAAATCAATTTTTTAAATAATGATTTCTTTATACTTATTTTAAGTAAAAGTTTCAAATAGAACTAAACAGTGATTATTTTAGATTAATTAAGTTCGTTTATAAAAGCAGTTTCCTGTGTTATGATTGCATAGTTTTAAAGAGTGAAAGTTTTGGAAATTTTTTTAAAGGTCTCTATAGTGCCAGAATTTGATGTGAAGGAACCTGGTAATAACGGTAAGATAGTGATCCGAGGAACGAAAGCTACTTTAGTTGGTCTTCTGGGAGTCGACGAAGCTGTTTACGCATTATCAAAGAAAGATCTTCTCACTAGATCTAAGGTAATTATTTTAGATGGATTTAGATTATTTACATACGAAAAGTATTTTATAAATTATTTACGCAACATAATCTTTGTGCAGCAACATAACTTAGTCTATGTCCCAGACACATAGAAATGTCTTCATTTTTCTTCAATATCACAAATATTGTAAAAATGTATTACTTACTAGTTTTATGTGTTATTATTTATTAAATTAATCATCGAGAAAGCAAATACTGAATGTGCTGAAAAAAGAATGGTCAAAATTAACTCATATGGGAATTTTTTGCCTTGTTTCTGGCTCTACGGAAACACCGAAACAAAATCGATAACTTTTATCGAAGCTCTTTGGTGATGGTTTTGGTAAAATTAGCACTAAAATACATGTTTTAAAATATATAATAAAATTTTGTAAATTTGATAAAATTTAATAATTTTATCGTGATGCTTTAGAGCGTGGCTTGAAAATCATTCATTTGGTTGAATTTACTGTTCAGTTTTGTATTTTTTACTAAATGTGTGGTAGTAAGTACTATAATTTGGAAAACGAGAATTTCTCAATTTCTCATAAGCCGTTACCATATGAGCGGAAAAATTATCAAATGAATAATTTTTATATCGAATATTCAGGTTTTTAATACCAAAATTATGTTTTTTTTTCTTCATCAGAAATGCTATTACCACACAGTACTGTAATTTTATGAAATTTTTTTGTCCTTGTAGATAGATCAGAGAAGGAAATTTTAAATTCTGTTTCACTAAAGGAATTCTGATAATTTTATTTATGAATAAATACTTATTTCTATCCTCTTATTCCAGAAGTCTGTCTTTTAAATGAAATGAAAGACTCCTACAGTTTTTTTTTCCAGATCAACTTCACTTACCTTCGGAAAAGTTTTTAAAGAGATTTCATTTGCAATTAAGAAAAAAATATGCTCTGAACAAAACACCCTAAGAATTTATGCATAAACGATGTTATACTTTAACACGCTGAATGCCACGCTAATTTTACATGGCTTGCCCGTCTGACCAAAATGATTTTCTCAGTATGTATTGCATTAATTTCTTCAAACCATTTTTGTAACGATAATAATATTAAAAGAATTAAAAGCATTAAAAATTTTCTCGAATTATGTGTTTCTAATAATCTTGGCTTCACCGGTCCCCGGTGACCCCCGTGGCGCTATGAGCAAACTCAGTGCCGGTCACCTCCATGGCATTCAACGTGTTAAAGATTATCTCAATGAAACAATTTTGAAATCTTTAAACATTTGTACAACTAGAATATTTTCTGGGAGATTTAAAATGTTTCAAAAACATAAATGGATATGCTCTGTAGATTATTTAGCACTTTGGATTTCGTGTTTTCTAGTGCATTCATAAAATTGTTCACTTTTATTCTGAAAAATATTCTTTTAGGTGTTTAAAGAATTGGCTAAACATGATTTAGGTTGTGGACCGGGAGGTGGTATAGACTCAGACAAAGTCTTGGCTAATGCTGGTTTGATAATGGCATCCAATGTTCACAATCCCTCGTCAACAACGTGTAAGTTCATAATAATTCTAGCATTTCACTGCTTGATTGAGTTATTAATGTTATAAAATTTAATTATCAGTTTACATATTATTACATGAAAGAAATTAGGGTGGAATTCTTTTTATACTTAAAAATAGTAAGGTCAACGCGTTGCCATCGCTGTTTTGGGTACTCATCTTAAAGCTGTTTTTCTAGGCAAAAACTTAGAAACCTGAAATTATGAAAGTAGGTTGAAAATGTACACGAGTACAAAGGAATAAAAAACTAAAATTCGATTTGTTCCATAATTATTAACTACTAAACTTGTAGCAAAAATACAATGCGGACTGGTTTACATGTCGCAGGAATGCAACTGCAGAATTAAAATTTGACTTGCTGATAGAACCATGTTTAATTGTAAACTAAACAAGAGCTTTTTGTTTTTGAAATTCAATTTGACTTCAAAGTTATTGGAATTTTAAAAGCTTTTTATGAGGTTTTTCATCATTTGTTTTTCGCTTTACGTTACATTTTGTTTTGATGCACAAAATCTATAAGATTTAAAAACTTGAAAATTATGAAGGTTGGATACATTGAAATGAATTGATGCTAGGAATTCGATAGAATAAAAGAATGTAAGATTCAATGATTAGTTTGAGAATTATCAGCTGTTAAACTTAAGTAAACAATAAAAGGCGTTGTCAAATCTATGGCATCCTGAAATGCAAATACAGGGTTGAAATTTGACAAGCTGAAATGATTATTTCAAATTAATAACTTGACTCAAGTTTTTTTCAATATTTCAATTTGTTTGAAAGTTTTTGCAATTTCAAATGTTTTTTTCATGATTTTTTCAGTTTTTTTTTGCGTAAAATAACGATTATTTATCCATTGTTGTTGAAAAATTTATCTTTCGCGAAATCATAATTTTATTAGCTCCCACGTGACTTGTTGTTCAATGTTATAAAAAATGGATAATTAAAAAAAAAGAAGAAATAAGGGAAAGCGATTAGATGTAGCCTGTTATAAAGAAAAAAAATTATATAAAAATTTTTAAAAATATAAATGTCTAAAGAAAGTTAAAAACTGTTTGCACTTTGAACTGTTATACAATCTAAGATTTCCGCTACAGATTGTTAGCAAATGAAATTGCTCTTCATTTATTTCTTCTTATAGTAAAACGCATTCTATATTCTTAAGTTTAACTATTTCTTTTAAATACAGTTGATTATTTTTCAAATCCACGTAATCGTTCATCTTGTTACGATTGAAGTAATTACTTTTACGCATCGAGTAAATAAACTATTTTTCGGCAAACAAAATTAGTTGGGCTAGGAATCAGCTGAATAAAATAAAGTTTCCTCCTAAAATATTAAAGTGAGGAATGGTAAGATTCTTTAAATTAAGGGTATGTTTAACCTTATGTGCTAAGAGGGCCACATGAATGAGTTAGGAAAATCTCATGGCTCACATACATTATTGTAATAATATAATGCAATGAAAGAAATTAATTAGGAGGAATGAAACTAAAAAAATAGTTTAGCGCTTAAAAGCAACCAAATGGTTATAAATGATGGTTCGCTTCTTTTTTTGGAGCTAAGTTCACTTTTTTTTGTTCCATTCATTCACTGTTAGCTTACTAGGCAACTTGCCTTCATTTATTAACTTACAAGACAAATGAAGGCAAGTTTTTACTTTTTATAATAGCTTCTCTTATGTGATCATTTAATTGTTCAGAGTTGTTTGTTAAGAGTTTAATCTGAATGTAGCATCGATTCCTTTACCCGCTCATTTTATCTAGTTTAATTTACATCTTCCTTTTTATAGCTTCTTGTGTTGCTATTAAAAGAAGGAAAAGAGAAATTGGATCTGAAATATGTAAGTACTAATTTTACTTGATGTTAGCTACCATTGACAAAATTATCTCGTACTCTGTGTAAACTTTTTTTTTATTAATTACGTCCATCATTTGCTCTCTCGAGCATGAGAAGTCTTGCAATCCAATATAACAAAGAAATATCTCCAGGGGTGGAGAGCGTCTTGAAACTAGAAGAATTACGGGCCTCTTGGAGGGCAGAGCAGTTCCGTAGATGCCCGCCATTCATATGGGCCCTATTTGCACATACAGTTCGGAGAGTCAGAAAGACTAACACGGTGTAAGTGCACCTGTAAGTAATCGTGCCCTGTCAACAATTGGAAAGATGAAACACAGATAGCTCTAGGGAGATTTTTCGGAAGACAGGATGCCCGAAGGCTCTTCCAACGCTTTCCAGAAACTTGCTCTCTGTTGGAAGAAACTCGTAGAGTTCGAAGCTTTAGTTTCACAATTTGTTTAACATTTCTCAAATTTGTCGGTGACACAGGGAGATCCAACAGAGATGCCTCTTCGGCAAGGTTATCAGCCTTTTCATTACTCCATAAGTCACAATGGCTGGGGATCCATTGGAGAGTTATCTCCTTTCCACTAGACAGAAGAGCATTAATAATGTTTTTTACAATTGAATTCAATGGCTGTAGGAAGAAGAACATATTTTGAAACAGTGTGAATTGCGGCCTGGCAGTCGATGAGGAGGACAAATCTATTTTCAGGTCTTTCTAATATCTTTTGGAGAGCCAGGTATATTACGAACATTTCTCCATCGAAATTGTCAGAGTTTGAACTGAGTGGCTTTTTGAGTTGGAAAAATCTGGAGAAAACACCTGAGCCTGCTCGTCTGTGTAAACTTTAATGGTAACCAAGCCGAATATACGGCACAACTTTATTTAAATGATCTAATTCTTCCAATTCCTCTTTCAATTCTTACACTTTAATTAATTTTAAATAACGCATTAACCGAATTCTAGCTGTTGTACGCACGGAAATACGTTGATTTCAATTTTAATTATTTTTAAGAGACGTCTTAAATATTGTCAAAGTTCTACATGTATTGAATTTTAGTAATAACTTAACGCTGTTTTTCGAAGCTCTGTAGCCAAGGAAAATAAAAAAGCCATAGTTTAAGTGCCTTACACTTGAAGCAGACAAGATAGAAAAACACTACCCCCATCAAGGCTTTATGGTTAATACGGCTCATTTATGGCTCAGTGCCTTAAATGAGCTGCTAATAGAGTTATCCCACTAATCAAATGCAGATTGAAACAAAGGTATAAACCGCATATTTTCATATATGGTGCTTTAGATATTCATTATAGATGGAAGTTTTATTTCCGGTAAATTTATAAAAAATGCATCTTTCTGTTATAGTAGCTTTTTTTAAAAATTGATGCCGAAAAAAAACGTGTCTTGTTTTTAGTAGAGAAGAAAAAACCATTAAATATTGCTATTATTAAATCTAGTAATATTTTAATATTGAATAAAAGTCTAAACAAAATTTCGCAGAATAAATAAAGCTATTCTGTTTCGTTTTGTTGGAAGTTTGGTTTTAATTGGAAACGGCCATGGAAAAGATTTGCTGTACTAAGTATAAATTTTTTTGGGTGCTGATGGTCTGAGTTCCAAAGTGTGATATTAATGTCTCCCTTATGAGTCAATTGCTTCAGCCCAAGGGGAACCTCATTGCATCCTAAATATGCGCCCTAACAGATTTCGATTTTGCAACTCACTGCGCAAGCGTGTTGCATCATTAATCGAGTTCGATGAAGCTGCAACTCATTCTTAAACATATTGCGTCTCTAATCAACTTCGGTAAAGCTGCAACTCATTGCGCAAACGTGTTACTTTCCTTATCGATTTCTGTACTACTGCAACTCACTGCACAAACGTGTTGTGTCCCGAACGAATTTCGGTAATATAGTACCTCATAGTGCAAATGTGTTGCGTTCCTAACTGATTTCGATATTGCCTCCACTTGTTGGATAAACGTGTTGAGTCAACACCTCCTAAGAGAGAAAAGGCCTTCGCACGGGTAATTTTAGTAGTCCGAAGAAAGGAACATTAAACTTTGCGAAAATGAATTAAGATGTTACAATTGTCGGACAATTAAAGAATTGGATTTCTCGTTTGTGGTGACCCATGCGAAGGCTTTCTCTTTTACAGGAGATGTTGATTGAGACCCTAAAGGACTTTGGTTATACTGCAACTCATTGCGCAAACGTGTTGCTTCCCTAACAATTTTGGTACTTGTTGCGCATTCAACTCACTGAAAACGCGAAATTTTACGAGTTCATTGTTATGCATAATTTTTAATTCATGTTTCTTTTAGTGAGTGACTATTCTGGGCTGGCTAAAGAATGCTGCTCTCTTGGAATGAGTCATGATTCCCAAAATAGAGATTGTGAAACTAGAACTAACATAGTTGTGCGACAATTGAAAGGGGAACATTCAAATTGTTCTAGAGCCTTTTTGGAATGCTGTCAGAAAGCAAAAGAAAGAGGATTCACAGAAATGAAAGCAATGAGTAAAAATTATCTTTTCATATTTCACGAATAAAGATTGTAATATTCTTGACACATTCAGTTCTACGAACGAGGTATATAATGTTTAACTATTGTATCCCTAAAAGATGGTAAAACATTTAAAGTTAACTCAAGTGGATATTTCATAATTTTTTTAACACTTATTTACTAATAAATGTAGCATAAATTAATAAATTTCTAAGACATTAACTGTCTTTGCAATAAATTGACCACCACTTTCGACGAGCAATTTATCATGCGATTCGAAGCAACTTGTACCTAGAAGTGTTACATTTAAAATAAAAGCTTCTTTAGGTGATTATGCTATGGGAAATGATTAAAATTTCAGACGTATTATTCCATGAAGTAATAATAAGCTTAGTGATCAGTCCCTAAATTAAGAAAAAAAAATTGCAGTATTATACGAGAATCAATATGATTACATTGTTATCTCCGCACTATTCATACTCTTATTTCAAAACTTACAAATAGTAAAAATCAAGCAACTAATGCTTAATTTTAGAATTGTTCTAGAAAATAAGTATTTAGTACATTCTTTTATTGTTAACGATATTACTGCTCCTAAATAATGTAATAGTTTTCAAGATTCTGTATAGATTCTTGAAAGTAAGAAGTAGATTAATTTTACTAGTAACTGTACGTTACGTACTAGTAAGTACTAGTTCTTTTGTTGGAAGTTTGAAAGATGTTTAATAATTTTATTTTATTTTAAATCACTTCAAGTCTGCTATTAACGAAGAGAAAGGGATTCTGTCTTTTTTTTAAATTTGTAGCTCTTTTAAAGTGTTTTTTTTTTTTTTGNCTTTTAAAGTGTTTTTTTTGAGAAACTTCATCTATTGTACAAAAATATTCTACAAAGCTTTTTCAAATTTAAAAAAATCCTAAACTACGTGTATTATCTAAGTACTGATAATATAGTCGAGGCTTTCCTGTATGATTCCCCGTTACAGCGACCCTTCCATTTTAACAATCATTGTATAAGGTCCCGTTTGCTATTCTATAGACGCAATGTTATTTTATTGTCTATTAGAACTCTCTAACTGAACAGCTTATTCCATTATACATAGCGACTAAAATTTAGTCATTTTGATTTAGAAAAGGATTCAAAGGAATTATTTAATCCATTATTTGCTTTGATGTTACCCCTCAATAAATGTAAAACACATTGAGTTCCCTTGGAAACAGCCAAGAAAGACATTACCCTTAAATTCTTATCCTAAGTCCTAAGTGGTCATAATTTATGGTCATTCATAATTTATGTAACTGTTTTTCCAAAGTATGCAATAAATCTATCAATCACACTTTCTCTATTTGAAAATCATATGTTGTTGTTTCTGCTGCCTACTTGCCATTTCTAGCAAGCCTGCTTGGGAAACTAAGCGAACTTAAGGCAGAGGGTGCGTTTCTTGTTTTTCAGAGACACCATATGTGCCCAAGAATATGATTTCAGCCACACACACGTCGCACCCGTTTTACAGGGCGAATCCATTCATTCACACACAGATCGTAATATTTTGATCTGAATCAGTGAACGATCAATCTCCAATTCAGTAGTCTAGAGATATATTTTTGTCTTGGAAACTTGGAGAAGTATTTCCATAGGCTCATTGCAAACAGCCTGGAATAAATAAGGCTAATGGGGTCGAAGAATTATATATTGTCTTATTAATTTAAAAGTATATAAGATCATTGTAATAAACATAAAAACTGCTAGACTGTTTATAAAATGCTAGAGACTTTCCTGGTTTCTTGTCGAAATCGTTTTGTAAGTGCATATTTCCAACTGGTTTGCGATATATCCATCAATATAACACATTTTTAAACAGTTGGAATCGTTATGTTAGTGTATATTTCTAACTAGTTTGCGATATATCCATCAATATAACACATTTTTAAACAGTTGGAATCGTTATGTTAGTGTATATTTCTAAATAGTTTGCGATATATCCATTAATATAACACATTTTTAAACAGTTAGAATTGTTTAATAGTGTATATTTTAACTAGTCTGCGATATGTCCATCAATGTAAAACATTTTTAAACAGTCAGAATTGTTTAATAGTGTATATTTCTAACTAATCTGCGATATATCCATCAATGTAAAACATTTTTAAACTGTCAGAATTGTTTAATAGTGTATATTTCTAACTAATCTGCGATATATCCATCAATGTAAAACATTTTTAAACAGTCAGAATTGTTGAATAGTGTATATTTTTAACTAGTCTGAGATATATTCATTAATGTAAAACATTTTTAAACAGTCAGAATTGTTTAATAGTGTATATTTTTAACTAGTCTGCGATATATCCATCAATGTAGAACATTTTTAAACTGTCAGAATTGTTTTATTAGAAGCTGGAATGCATTTAGCTAGAATGGGTGCAATAGGAATAGATGAGCCAAACTTTGTGTCTCTAGACGAAGAAGAGTTCTTCGAGAAAGGATTAATGGTCAGGAGCGATTTTAGAGAAACTTGGTTTGCGGAAGATATTATTATTGGGTAAACAATTTTTTTTTGTAAATTCTATATGAGACATGAAGTATTAAGCATCTATTATAAAATCTTAGATGGTATTTTTTAGAAAAAAAAGAATGCATACTGTCTGTTCAACTTTAGAAATTCAATTTAGTTTATTATTTCATTCCAAACGATGTTTATCTTCCTCCTAACGATACAATTCAGTTAAAAGAGTGTAAAATGCATTTAGCGTTTTAGTTAATAATTTCTAATAAGTATTCAATATTCAAATTTATGAGTCTAAAAATGTTACACTGTAAAAAATTACGGTGAAAAGTATCAGCACTTTGTGTTCACGATCCGTAAAATCTATTTTTACCGTGAAATGTTCTACCATTATTTTTTAAGGTATATCAGATTTTTAGTTCCGTAATTTGTTACGGTAAAAAGCACCAGCCCCCTGAGTGCCGGATTTTTTTTAAACTTTAATTTGATTCAGAATATTTTACAGTGCAGACTTATTCAAAACTCATACACATAGAACAATAATATTCGTGTTAGGTCCATCAAACTTTGCTTAGCCCCTTCGTTCTCGCTCCCGTGAAAATGACGGGGTGAGGTTTCTCCCTCTATTTCTCGCTCCCGGGATATTTCCGGGCTGGAGTGTTCTGTAATACTGCTCCAATAAGAATAAAACTAATTCATTTCTTTTGGCCGGAAAATATTTTATTTCTCATTTTACCCACCAAATGGCAGTACCAGGATATTCCTAATGTAATTGTAGATAGAGAGAGGTAGTTAGAGATATAGGAATGAAACTCGGTACTATATACTGTCCAGATTGTGGCGTTGGCCTCTGTATCTTATGCTTTGAAAGTTATCACTGTAGAAAAAATTTCTAATCTTTATTTATATTATACGTAAGTTTACTAAAATTCTTTTTTAATGTTTAAACCACAATTTTTTTAAATTTTCCTTGCTTGCTGGAAAACCAACATTAAGTCATAGAATGTTGACTTTTCCTGAAAATGTAATTTTTTAAAATTTCAAGCTAAAAACAAATGAAAAATTAAAAATGAATATATATATATTGTTCATACACATACTTTTATATTATTTTCAGGGATAAAAAGAAATAGGCACTTTTATGACCGTTTTCTTGAAAATTAACCGATCGTTAAGGGGTTAGAGTAGTGTAAGAGAGAGAGAGCTATTTATTTTTCATTATTATAAAATAGCAACATTTTATGCATTTTATTTAAGCGAAAAGGCATTAAAAATGAATTTCTATTGAAGAGATTAATAGCATAAAAAGCATTTTTAATTCTCGATGAAATATGAAGATGTTTATGAAATGTATTTTAGCTGCTCCCAGATTCTTCCGTCGATTACACAGACTGTGTTGTTTGCAATTTTGCTCTAGTCTTTAAATGAGTCCCTAAATTTTGAAACCATTTTTGATTTTTTTTCTCATTTTTGACCCTTAGTGTACAGATTTTTTCTGGGAGGCTCGAAAAATATATTTTAAGGTCTATAAACTTGGCATGCTTTACTCTCTTATTTTTAAAAATTCAATGAAAGTGCTCGTGAGTTACTAAATGTTTACAATGTTGTATTTCTTAGACCAGATAATCAAGAAGTGTTTGACGTGAGCTTGCCGCATAGTATCACAACTTGGGCCATACAAGCGGTGTCTGTTTCACCCAACTATGGAATATGTGTGGCCGAACCACAGAAAATAGTTTCTACGAAGAAAGTATTTCTACAGTTGAATCTCCCGTATTCTGTTGTGAGAAATGAACAAACCGAAGTGCAGGCAACTCTGTTTAATTATGGTACAAAGAAATTGGCAGTAAGTAGATTTATATAAATTACGAAATATCAGGTCAGGACAAAATTTTTTTTTATTTTATGTATATAAAAACATATTGAAACGTGTAAGTTGTGTCAAATGAAAATTATATTTTTTTATCAAAACATTCAAGAGGTATATTTTATTGAAAAAAGAGAGGATGTCTACTATCTGATAATCATGAGACGAGACCTCGTCCTCACTGATAAACATCTAAACGAGATCACATCTCCTGATTGATTGTCAGTAGTTATTTAGGTATTTCAATACGAGGGAAACATAACCCTATGTTTCGTACTTTAATAAAAAGGATATTTGCTGTCTGACTATAACAGGAGATGAGACATCGTCGTAACTTCCTGACTGATAACCAGCTCAATGAAATCTTATCTCATGATTGATAGACAGTAGTTATTTAAGTATTTGAATAACAGTATAAAAAAGGAAAACAAAACTCATTGTTTTGTAAAGTGCCCAAAAATGGATATCTACTATTTGACAATCACGAGATGAGATCTCGTCCTCACTGATAACCATCTCAATGAGATCTTATCTCATGATTGATAGTCAGTAGTTATTAAGGTAGAATAGAAGTATATAAGAGAGAAACAATAACTTTATGTTTTGTTCAGTACCAAAAAAAAAAGGATACCTCCTGTCTGACAATCGTATGAGATAAAACCTCGTTCTCACTGATAACCATCTCAATAAGATCTTATTTCATGATTGATAGTCAGTTATTTAAGTATATGAATTTTCTGGTCAAATCCATTTAGGAAAAAAGAAGTATAGAATGCTATGTGACTCAAAATTTGAACTTTTGGGGTACAAAAAATATGAAGTAAAATTCCTATTTTCGTGGGATTCATAAGTCCTTCATCCGTTTTCTATTTAGTTTTTATGAGTTTACAGATAAGCGAATTCGCTGCAATTTAGAATTTTGTTTTGACAGCTTTGTTGCTTAATTCACATAAAATGAACAAGCCAGGACACTATCCGCAATAAAAATATTCTGCAGTGAGCTATGCAAATTTTCATTGTTTATAATCGCGTCAAAACAAAACAAAATTCTTATGAATTATTTCTGATATTTCAATGACATAAAATTGAAAAATATCGTTTCTTTTAAAACGTTTTGGGATTAAAGATTCATATATGTGTCATGAATAATTTTGTCCAGGTAGCTTTAGCTTTACTAAAATTTTGATTGTCAGTAAATCACTTAAGCAAAATATTTTATGCTTTATAAACATGACAAAAACATAAAAGCTATATTAAAGTTCTAGGAAAGCTCGAGGTTTAGTCACTTTCCTTTACAAATAAACTTATTTTCGTCTATTACAATATTTTTTTAATTCTTAAGTTATTTTTCAATGCAAATATCCAAATGATTCTTAATTCTACAGTTTTTTTTTTTAAAAAATTCTATACAACTTCTATATCAAATTATTTTGGGTGTTCTTTAATGATCACTCTAAGTGTATTTTTATTAAGTAGGAAATGTAAATACGATTTCGTAAAATAATATTATAAGCGAAAAACATAATGAGAAAAGTAAGCATGAACAATATTGAAACCAGTTTAATTGCCAGATGAAGCGTGGAGCTGTTTCTATCTTTAAATACCTTTTAACTCTTTTCTGTTTTCTCCAGCAATCAAACATGTTTCGAATTTTCACTCTCACCTGTTATTGATTCCTTAGTTTTCTACAGCGTATTTTTTTCTCTCTTAATTATTGTGTTAAGATTCGTAAAGTGTAAACTTTTTTGACGAGGATTCTAAAATTATACATTAAGGGTTGTAATTAAAGAACACTCGGCATACTGCACTGCTACAATATAATAATTAGATTTTGTATTTTTATACTATGTTTTTCGTTTTAATAAAAATAATATTGCTTCGAAATCATATTTTTTCTCACGAGTTAAACTATTTTGCTGTTTTTAAAAAAATATAATTTTTCGAATTGTTTATTGTAGGCTGTTGTTTACATGTATGGAGTGAAGGATGTATGCAGCGGGGCCAATGAAGGAGAAAAAAGTGAGCGCAAAAGATTGATTGTTGATCCACAATCAGCAATGACTACAACATTTCCAGTGATTCCCCTCAAAGAAGGAATGTTCAATTTAAAAGTTGTTGCCTTGAGTCCTGAAGGCAGTGATGTTATTTTAAAAACACTGAATGTTATCGTAAGTTTAAATAGGTTGTTTATTATTAACATCATATTGTTGTTATAATCTTCTTATTCAGAAACAGAAGTTTTCCTTTGTGTCCTGGAGCCAGTGTTGTCAATTTGAAAACACTGAATGTTATCGAAACATGTTTAAATAAGTTGTTTATTATTAACAACATATTATTGTTGCAATCTTCTTATTCAGAAATAGACGTTTCGCCTTGAGTTCTAAAGGCAATGATGCAAATTTGAAAACATTGAATGTTATCTAAATTGTTTAAATAGGTTGTTTATTATTTTAATCAGCATATTATTGTTATAATCTTCTTATTCAGTTTTGCCTTGAGTCCTGAATCCAGTAATGTTAATTAGAAGATATTGAACGTTATCGTAAGATGTTAAAATAAATTATTTATTAACAACAACATGTTATTCTTGCAATCTTCTTCGGAAATAGATGTTTTGCCTTGAGTTCTGAAGGCAGTGATGTCAAATTGAAAGCATTGAATGTTATCTAAATTGTTTAAATAGGTTGTTTATTGTTAAAAACATATCATTGTTATAATCTAACTGTTTGAAAAAAGAAGTTTTTATTAAATCTTTTAATAAATTTTTGTTTCATTTTATAACTTGCTTGAATATCCGTCCCATTTTCTGGTTTGTGGCTCCCAATGTTCAACTCCGTACTTTTTTATCCATCGGGAAAAACTTGCCTTTTTTGAGAGATTTAATTCATATTTGCGTGACATACAGAGAAACACCACAAAAACCTCCTACTGTTAGCCCGACGGCAATAGAAATCTAACCCATGATCTGTCCACCACTGGGGATATTTTACGTCAGGCCTTTTTTCGGTGCGAGTTGGGAGAGAAATTCAAATCGATCAAATATCATTGGAATTTGAACCTACGTCACCTCAATGGGAAGCAAGTGTTCTATCCCCAGAGCCACCACGTCTGCCTTTAATTTATACTTTCGTTAATTTGACTAACTCAAAGTAGAAAATAAATTGCGCGATTCCATAGCGATTATTCTTCATATTCATTTTTAGAAACTCTTGAAAAAGTAAAATAAAAAAGTTGTTTAATCATTACAGTCCAGAAACAAATATTAAAACTAGTAAAAAAAAGGCTATTGAAATTTATTGAATCACTTGTGACTAAAGCGACGTTGAAGACCCCGAAACCTGTTTTACTGCTTGAAAAAACAGAGAGGATTTGAAAGGCAATTATTAGAAGTTTCTTTAGGTAATCAAAAGGGTTCTTTATTTCATTCCACATCTTACACTATTTATTCGAGAGATTTTCGTAGCTTCTTTGTTTTGTTTTTGCTTAATTATTGATTTTCAACCCTAATGCGTATATTTCTTTTACTTCATTTTTGATAAAGATTCTAAATGTTAAACTAATGACAATGATTACGGAACACTTTGTGTATTTTTCTGGCACCCTTGATATTGGAAGAAAATCATTTTTCCATATTTCAGAAACTTCCTAAACAAAAGTTTTTAGATTAAGCAATTTTTAAAGTACTATGTGATGAACCAATTTAAAACATTAATTTAACGTAATGAAACATAATTCTCTTTATATGTTTATAGGATTTAATGAAGATTCTAGTATGTTAAAAATTCTAATTCAACTTATAATTTTATTAGGATTGGAATCGAGCTTTAAGCTCGGCACTCCGTATTTAATTAATTAATTCCATACGAATAGTCTAGTCCAGGGCTGTCCAACTGGCGGCCCGCCAACTTCTTATTCAGGCTGATCGGCCTCAGTTTTCCCATTAAAATGTAAGAAAATTGTTTTATAATCCTTCTGTACCATTGTTTTGTAATTAATAATTCAACTATTAATTGTAATTGTATAAGAGGTAAGAGGTTAGTGTTCAACTTTTTCAAACTGCGGCCCGCCAGTTGATCAGTGACCGGAATTCTGGCCCGTGGGCTACTTTGCAGTTGGACAGCCCTGGTCTAGTCTAATTGTGATTGCAATAATTTTCAGACCTGCGAGTCTCTAATGAGTTAACTCATTGAACCGTCTGAGTTTTGAGGCTTTGAAGCCTGTGTTTTGCTGTATTATGCAGTAATTTGAGCTCTAATTGTGTGGTGCAAATAGTTTCTAGAAGGGACGAATAATGAAAATTTTAAAGTCTTAAGACTGTTATATTCATCTCCAATTCAACGAACCTCTGGGCTTTGTCAAATAGCCTATTATTTACCAAAAAGTGTAAGTTCATATGATTGCCTAGCCTTCGAAAAACAGCCTCAATATGGGTTTTATTAACCGATGTTATTGCAGAGAAATGAAATATGGAACTGCCGTGACATATGGAATGTTTTCTTCAAAATAATATTTTAATACTTTACAAAAATAATCATTTATATATTTTTTTTTAAATAAAGTTTAAAACTTAGATCGTATGACAGAAAAGACTATTTGGAATAACATTATGTTTTTTTTATTTTTTCATTTTAGCCTGAAGGTTACCTTGTTGAAGTCGATATTCCAATCAAACTAGATCCAACAAATCAGCAACGAAGAGCCAAAAGACATATTACAAATGATCTCTTTTCTGGTGTATTCTTTGTAACAAATATTTATAAATATTTTACTTAGTTTACTATCTTACCATTCTAAGATAAACCTATCTATCTAAAAAAATTAGGACATTAGTGACAGAAGTTACAAAATAGCATAGTCATTATGGGTGAAAATTTCTATTTATAAACATGTTGCTAAGTGCTATTGTAAAAATTACAGCAAAATATTTAACGATTAAAATAGATTTTATGGTAAAATGGATTTTGCGGATGATGCACCCAAAGTGCCGGTATTTTGTACCGTAACTTGATCCGGAATTTTTAACAATGTGTTTAAGTAGATTTGCCTGTTCAGAAAACACACCTTAATCATTAAATGCTTTTTGTGGTCCAAAAATATATTTTTGCATTAAAATTTTTATTTTCGAAAGTTCAATTTATTTTTGTTAATTAATTAAAAGTTTGTAATGTAATGCTAAAAGTGAACAGAAAATTTAAGAATTAGTCACAAGAACTATTAATTTGAAAATTAATCTTAAAAGTGAACTATCGTTTACTTATTCTGAGTTAGTCACAAAACCAATTAATTCGAATGTCTTAAAGTGAACTAACTTTAAACTTTTAACTATTAATTACGGCTGTAAGAAAACCAATTTATTACAACTAATGTTTAGTAAAAAGAAGCACAAATAAAAATTTCACAATTGTCTTCAAATATTCTCATCTGCTGTTAGTGAATCATCGTTGAAAACTGCGACAATCTTCATAAACAATTATTAGCAAATTGGTGATATTAAATACATTTATATTAGTTATTAATTTGATTTTTTCAAGTAAATTCGTAATCAAATAAAGATTGATACACTTAAATGTACATATAAATACATAGGTATTTTAGGTTTGGATTTAGAAATAATACAGTCTTCTAAAAATAAAATTTGTTTTATTGTAGATTCCATTGATACGTCTCAGAATCTACAAGTGACTGCTATAAAACTTCCCGTTCCAAAAGATTTCGTTCCTGGAACAGAAAGTTGCACTATAACTGCATTAGGTTGAGTATAGAGAATTTTTTATTTAATTTGAGAGACATTTATTTTTCTTTAACTGTAATTCTTTGTATTAAATAATTTTTTGTTTCATTAATAAATTTTATTAATATATATTTTTACTTAAGTTATAAGCACATACCAATGATGAATAGTACGAAATTCGTATTGCATAAATACTGAAGTTTTTCCAAATAACACTGAGGAACAAATTTTTTGTTGCATCTTTGCAAATATGTGATCTTGCCTAAATCGGGTATAAGAATTTCAAATATGAAATTAGTTTTGTTCCGTTTTTTAAACTGATACTTTTATTTAATTTTTTGTTGAAATGTTAAATATTAAAAACGTTATTTGTAAGAGGGGGTGACCTAAATGTTGCGACAAACTTCTATAAAGGAGTTAGAACACCTCGTCAAGGTCGAAATAGCATACAAATCATTGCCCAGAAATGTAGTTGCATAGTTTGTCTAAAGTAAGAACTCCCCTAGCCATTCGTATGGACCCGTGGTAGTGAATATGGTAATGAGGTATAACTATTTCAAGTAGGGTCATTGTTTAGGACAGGTTTTGACTCGGTCTGGTCGGCGAAAGAATCTTTTTCTTCGATTTATTGTGTTAGCTTTAAAGTGAAGAGAAGCTACCCTCCCTGAAATGCGTTATCCTTGTTTCCATAGCAGCAGACGGCCTCAAACTTTGTGGCGGGGGCAGTTCTTACCGTAGACAAATTATACGTGGTTAGGAGTGCTTCCCTATTAAAACCTGTTCAGAAGAACAGTAAATAATAGAAGGGCGCTTCTAGCCGTTTATGGCGACATTTCTGAGCTTGCGTTTCAATGCAATTTTAATCCTGATAATGTGTCTTAACATTCTAGAAATGTATTGTAACACTTATGTAGCCTCCTGTTATATATAACGTTTTTTAACTTACGTGTTTTGACAAAAATTGACTAAAGTTTTTTTTTAAAAAAAGAAAAAAAAACTGTAGTTTGGGGAGAGAAACCGTTTGCAGACTTGAAATTAGCAAAGTATCTAAAATCTGTTAAAAATTCTTCGACTGTTAGAAAACAAGATAAAAAAATGCTCCCCAGAGTAATGCTTTGGAGTGTTTTTTGTAACTATTGATAATGAACCGCAATACAGCACTTTTACAGTTTTGTTCAGTGAATATTTTTTTTAAAAAAATAATTAAAAATATACATTGGTAAATATTTTACATAAGTAGTTAAACGTAAAAAGGTTAGGGACTGTTCCCATATCACGTTTTTTTTAACAGATGGGGTAATGCAAAATTGTGATAATTCTCGTGAAATTGTGATAATTTCTAACAAGATGGAGGGCTGACAAGAAGTGTAACAGCCCACATTTTGATTGGAATAAAACATTTAAAATCGGAAAAATAAGTACACATGCAAAACTTTTTAGTCTTATGCTCGCAAATGCCATGAAAACACACAGTCAAAATTTTAAAAATAATATTTGAAATAAGATCTTTTTAACGTAGGGGAGAGCGGGGTCAATTGTAACATTTTCTACTTAACTATTTTTAACTAACAAAAAATCCANTTTGGCTTACTTTTGAAAGAGTTATCGCTATTTTTGTGATTTTTCCTTAATTTATGATAACCAGTGTAGTAGTAATTGACAGACGAGTAAAGTAGACTATCCTCTACTAGCAAAAAAAAAATAAATAAATATCTTATTTAAAATGTTATTATATTAGTTATTAACAATTTTTGACAGTCGTGCACTTGCTACAATTGTCCCCACTTACGGGGTCAATGGTAATAGTTCATAAATTCAACTAAAACATAGTTAATTACACATATTATCATAGTTGTGATATATTTTTTATTTGATCAAAATAGTAGTGATATTTTAGGAGTAAAAATAATAATGAGCAGAGACCTAAAGGGTTAAACTTTTAACTTTAAGGGGTTAAAAATTTTAATNAGTCAATGACTTTGATGGAACTAAATGAAAACGTGATAAATTAATGTCCGATATTTACAGGCTCCCGCTAGACTGCGTACTCGAGCGTTGCGATCGCGAATTATTTACTAGTAGACTACACAAGAGTACTATAAAGTCTAAAAATATTAAAAAATAATTGGTTAGCAAAAGCATTAATAAAAGTAAAAATATTAAAAAAATAGCGAGCTAGCAAAAGCATGAATAAACTAAACTAAACACATAAAGAGATAAATAAAAAAAATAAAAGCAGACGGTAAAATTAGAACAACAGAGAGTTGTTGATATTTTGGAGTAGTTTTTGGTTTTTTGGAATTTGTAAATTTATTCTAATCCGTTACGGTATTTTCTATATTTCATTGAAAGATTATAATTAACCCATTACGGGCAATTTAATGTCATTACTGTATTTGTTGTGGTGTGAAATAAATGTTTTTTTTAATAAAACAAAGAACTGTTTCTTAATATAGCTTGTTACAGTACTTAGAAAGATTGAAAACTTAGACATCACATTACAACAGATTAAGTGTATATTTCTGCGACACTTTTAATCTTTGAAAAATGTACCTTAATTCTTGCTGTATCTTTGTAATATTGTATTTTTAGTACAATATTACAAAATATCCTAAGGAAGTGGAAATTGAAAAGATTATATTATCTGGCGCAATATTTTGCCTGGACAGCGTTGTCAAGTTCTGAAGAGTGAGGTTCGATTCCTGGCTGATATGTTTGTGGGCATTGGAAGAGTGGTCATAATAATGTTGTTGTTGTTTTTTGCCACTTGCCAATAATAGCAAGCCTATTTGAGGCAGAGTGGTGCGCTTTTCCAGTGGTGTCATCTATGGACAAGAATTCGTCTTTTCTAATACACATGCATCACAGCCCGTTTCACAGGGAAGACTCATTCACACGCCAATTATCCATTCTCAGATTGTAGTTTTGACCTGAATCTGAGTACGATCAATCTCTCATCCCGATTGATTTGTGATCTTGAATCAGATTTAGTGTGTAGCGATTACCATTTTACACAAGGTGAGTTTTCAGCCGATGCTATTCGAACTCAGGACCTCTCTGAGATGGGCCCAACGCCCGACTAGCCACGTCATACCGGCCCGGTAATAATAATAATAATAAGCATTATTAATATATTATGATCATTATCTTGTTGAGCAGAAAAAAATATTAATTTGAATTTCATAAATTTTATTCAGAATTTAGCAGAATAAATTTCTTTTTCATAAACGGAGAGAAACACAATACTTAATACGTCAATTTTTGAAAATATTTGTTATTGTTGTAGTTCATTTACGTCGCTCTAGAGCTGCGCAATGGACTATTGGCTACAGTCTGGGAAACATCCCTGAGGATGATCCGAAGACATGCCATAAATATTTTGATCCTCTGCATCGAGGATGGCAACCCCGTTTCGGTAGCCCGACGACCTGCACGCGAAGTCGAGCACTTTACGGTAGAACAGTTTAACGAGGACCAATACCCCCAACCATCGGTCCTTACGCGGACTAATCCAAGTGGGCACCCACCCGCACACTGACCGCAACCAGTCATACTTGACTTCGGTGATCCTCTGTGATTCGTGTCTTAACGATCAGTCCACTGCGGGACTTGAAAATATTTGAGAGTTCGTTTTCAAATTTGAATCAACATTTGAAAATATTTGAAATGGCAAATATAATTTGATGTTTTAGAAATATAAATAAAACACTTTCATAGTGATTTCTGAAAAAAGGAATAATAATAATGACACCGTTTTAAGAAACATTTTGTTTATAACGTTTTATAACCTTAAATTTTGTGAACTATAAAAGGACTTTTTTTAAGTGGGAAAAATAAGCAGTTAAGCTGAAAGAAACATTCTTTTTAAAAAGAGAAAGGAGCATTTGTATTAAATTTCTCCACTTTTAGTGCAATATTACAAAAAATCACAAGAAAGTGGAAATCGAAAATATTATATTATGTGGTGCAATATTTTATCTGGACAGCGTTGTCATATTCTGAAGAGCGAGGTTCGATTCCTTGTTACTTTGTACAGAACATAGGTTTCATTTCTGTATCAATTTAATAATTTTATTTACTCTGAAATTTTAAAGTAACTGATTTTACTTGTCTAAAAACTTTATTTGCTTCAAAGACATACAAATCTGAAATAACAATCGACAAACTTCAAGCGATCCAGAAAAGGTGCATTTTTTCTAGACTTGCTAGACGTCAATGAGAAGAAACATTTCAAGAATGCCCATTTTCAATAATGCTTCTTTTCATTGACTTCTGGCAAGTCTTGAAAATGAGTGTCTATTTTTGAGCGCTTGAAACATGTCGACTGTTATTTCAGATTTGCATATTTTTGCGGCGAATGAAGTTTTTAAACAAGTAATGTCTTTCCGTTTCAGTTTCTTGGGATTATTTATCTATCTTGCTGATAATTTTGAAGATACTTATTGCTAATTTGGGAGATATATTTATATTTTTGAGATTTCAGGTAGCTATCTGAAGTTTTTCTGGTGCTGAAACTAGGAAGAAAATAATTCAAATTTTAAAGAAACTTAGTAATATTTTTTATGAAACTTACTAGTGCTTTGCAGGAAATTTACTGGCATTTTCGGATCCGTTTTATTTCAAGGAAAAATCAGTTTTCTGAAGCGAAATTTTTGATATTTTTAATCTTAAAATCATTAATTATGAGTTCTTAATTAATTAATTATATAATTTATGCGTTATTTCTAGGTTACGGTAATCAGTTATCGTATAGGAAAGATGATGGCTCTTATTCAGCTTGGAATGGCAAACCTACAAGTACATGGTAATTTATTTAAATCTTCTCATTTACCAATTTATTTATCCATTTAATTCTTAAAAATTTAAATTTCTGAATAAATTCCTTTTTTCAGATCATTTAATATCGATTAAACAATATGCATAAATTTATGCTTTTGAAACTTACAAACTATTAGTTATTCACTGAGAAAAAAGCATGGACAAAACAATCAGAATATGGTAAAATCTACTGAGTTCCTGGTTTTAAGGGAATACCAAAAAGCTCAATAATTTTTTACTCAAGCGCTTTGATAATGAGTATGGTAAGCTTAACAATATAATATGGTTTTATAATAGGTGATTAAATTTGGTAAATATGGTGAAACTTGATAATTTTACCAAGATTACTGGCATAAAAACCATTTATTCGGTTTTACTTTTAGTTTTGTATCTTTTATTAAATGTGTGGTAATACGAGTTATAATTTTTAAAACCAGAATTTTCGACAAACCATTCCCAGATTTGTTTTCTCCGTGTTGTAAAATATTGAAGCTATAGGAATTTTTCACATGGTGAAAATAAGACATTAAAAAGATAAAAGACATTAAAAGAATAAAAACATACCTTAGAACATGGGATGCAAACCACGTTGAGTAGGTGCAAAGCGCAAAAAACGTATGCAGGCTGTGAATCTATACTTCAAAAAAAAAATTCCTGATCCTGCTACGGTAAAAATACCTTCAATCAAAGAGCCTGAATTATTTACTACAAAGATCAACTTTTACCGGAACATGTTACGGAACAAAAAATCTGACGTACCGTCAGATTTTTATTAGTTATAATTACCTAAAAATCGCTGAATCTCTCCAATTTAATAAATATTAATGTAAATAGTACTGTATAATATTTTACGGTAAAAAATGGATTTCACGGTAGAATCGATTTTACGGAAGATACACCTAAAGTCCGGTATTTTATATCGTAATTTGATTTTAATTTTTTTACATTGTGGAAGAGACGAAATGTGGAGCATTGTAGCCAATTCAGCAGACATAGAGAACACCTGGCATTATTTTTACGTCGTTGTAGACTGTGCAGTGACATCAGTGGGTGTTATCAGAATTATGTTTTTTTTTTCAAACAAGAAATGTCATTATCATACTGTACTGTAATTTTACCAGAATTTTTTTCTCCAAGTAGAATTTTTAAAAATGCTTTACCCTAAACTTGGAGGTTTTAGTGAACAAATTTTGTATTGGCTTACATCTAATTTTTCACTACTTGTTGTTTGTTTGCCTCCCAATATTATGTTTTTAAACCTTAATATGTTCTTCAACCCAATAATATGTTCCCAATAATATGTTTTTGAACCCAATAATATGTTTTTAAAACCTTTGCTCTTTCTTTCAATCGTTTAGTTAAACAATCATCGTTCAGTTTAGCATTCATCGTTCAGTTTAGCCTCATTCGTTTTAGTTTTGGTTACAAATAATATAGGGTGTTCCGCATTCACCGTCCTTAATAAATGTTCTTAAAATCCTTGTAAAAACTGAAGCAAAAAAAAGCACATTAGAGGTCGTTTATTAATACTAAAGCGATGAATAAAAAAAAGAGCCATCGAAAGCGGAAGAACCATTACTGAAAAAGACATAACTAAACAAACCAAAACCAGTTTAATAACCTAATGAAACTTGGATGTGTTTCTGATAATCACCTTTCAACTTCTTTATTTTCAACGGTTTTTATGTTTTCCGTCACGCCTTTTTAAATAGTGATTCATTAGATTTCGATATATTTTTATCTGTCTCACCTAAACAATAATTGGCTATTTCTATAGCTTACACTGTTCTAAATTCATTTTTGACAAGGATTTTAAAAATATGAACTAAGGGTGGCTCAGATTACATCGTATTTAAAAAAAAACATTGTTTTTTTTTAATACAATGCACCGTTTCTAAACAAACTATGAAAAATATTGAAATGACCAACATTTTGTGACGTGATACGAAATTAAAAAAAAAAAAAAACTTTTATCAGGTTAACTGCTTTTGTTATGAAAGTTTTCTGTCAAGCTAATAAAATGGTTCATATCGATGAAGATGTATTATGCAGTGGCGTGAAATGGTTGGTAAGCCAACAACAACCAGATGGTTCATTTGTAGAAAATAATCCTGTCTATCACATCGAAATGACCGTAAGTTGAAAGTTTTTTCATTATTTAAATTTTATTCTTCATATTTTAATCAAAATAACAAATAGTATTTCTGTATAACATAAAAAAATATTGGTCTAACACAGCTTTTAATTGTTGTCGTTGTATTTAAATTGGCTGGATCACATGGAAGGATCCAGTTTTCTCATATTATTTTCCATATTGTTTTGGTTGTCATCAGCATAAAACTAATAAAAGTCATAAGGCATCGTGTTCTTAAAAATGTTTTTGTGTACCTGAACTAAAAGCACCGGTACCACTATTATTACGTTTTTGATTTTGATTGTTTTCTTAATTACGATTTTATAACTAAGAGATTTGTTTTTTTTTCTATTATTATTACGTAATTCTCGCTACATTTTAAGACAAGTAGTTAAAATCGGTATCTAATTTTATTAACCGTTTTGCAATTTTTTGTGCAAATTACACACTGTTAAAAGTTTCATTCTAAAATTATGGTAAAATAACTGGCAGCTGTCTGTTCATCCGATTAACCGTAAAGTTTACGGTAAAGACCATTTTTTTTTCATTTATGGTTTTGAAACCATTTACAAATAGTATGGTTTTAAAACCATGAATGCAAAACTATACGGTTTTCTAACCATTTATAACTAGTATTTTTCAAAAACGTACAAAAAAATTTAATATTTAACTAGACATAGGAGCTCTGCTTTTCGTAAGGTAATGGGCATTGGAGAGTGCCGGATACTAGAAATTCTTCATGTGTTGAAGGGAATGGTGGAAATATCGTGGCGTCGACACTAGGACTCGAACTCCAGTTCTGCCGGTCATGAGATTGACAGATAAGCCCGCTCGGCTATGATATGTATGCAGTTGTAAAGAGCTAAGTAGCTTCATTAGGTGGTTCTAGTTGGTGCGATAAAATTCTGGTTGTTTAACCGTATTAGGTGAAAGCAGTTAATAAACAGTTTTTCTCAAACTTAACAGTTTGATTTCCATTTTATTTATGTTTATTTTACTATTTTGATTAAATATGGTAAAATAACCATTCAATAAATTGTTATTTAATCGTTTTTTCCGAGAAATTTCTAACAGTGCATTAATATACTAATAAAAATTGAAGTTAAAAGATTTGTTAAACAATTAAGAACTTAACAATCACTTTCGTGTACAATATGATGCATGCACCAATTGTATTTATACGTCAGTTGGGTTAGTCAAAATATTAAATTACAGTTGTGAATTTACCAAATTTGTTACATCAATATATTTTTGAATTTTAAATGCTATTAAAAAAAATACCTAAAAAATTACTTACGCTCATTAATAGATCTTAATAAAATCAGAAGATAAATATTTTGGCTTGGGAAGTGGGGGCGCAAGGGTAAGCAAATAGAATTATTTTTAATACATATTTCTTGAGTAAAAAAGTTCTACTTTCTTAAAAAAATGTTTTATGCAAAGGAACAATAATTATTACGAATCAATCGTCGGGATTGGAGAGGGGTAGTGAACAGGGGGCTTAGCCCCCTAGTCTTTTATCAAGTTACAGACTTATCTTCGATTCTTTTGGAGGGTAAACCATACTTCATAGATTTTAAAAACACTGTTATAGTTAATATCAAATAGTAGAAAGAAATTTTGTGGTGTATATTTTGCATGTAAAATATTTAGGTCAATGATACATATACAGTGAAACCTCGGTTAAGCGGACTTTCTTAAGACTAAAAAAAAAATGTCAGTTTACGAAAGTTGTCCATTTAGGGGAAGGATACACTAATAACGAAATCTCACACGATAAATTGTTTTTAGCGTCATTGCTATGATATTAAAATTACTGAATAAACTATAAATTTATTGCATTAATATTTGTTTAAACTAAACGAAATTATAATATTTCCAGAAAAAAAGAGTTTTCAGAAACATGTTATAAATCTTATAAGTTGCCAAACACATTTTTTTATTGCAGGAGCGGTTGCTTGATAAAATTACTGCGCCTTTCAAGCAAGCTAGAAATTTTAGGTTTGCTAACAAAAAATGGGGCCGTGATTTTTAAAAAGCGCTTTGGTATAGATTTTGGAAACAATAAAATAAAATACGGTTAATAACAATTAAATATGGTTTTAAAATATACGATAAAATTTGGTAAATACGACAAATTTGGTAATTTTATCATGATACCTTTAGAGCATGGCATGAAAACATTTTATTCGGTTGGACGTTCTCAAACTATTTTTGTCCTTCTTTCATTAATCTGGTTTTATGCCCTTCACAGAAAGTTATAAACTGTAAAACCGTGCTGTCCATATTATCGTTCAAATGTATTGCAATCTTATTATGGTGTTAAATTAACAGTGGTATCGCAAATTCTTAAACTTTATTACGCAATATTGTGGTTCAAATTGAACAGAAATATACACTGGTAAAAAAGCATTTTTAAAACTTCCAAAATATGGCAAAGCCTTAAGTGTTTCTGGCTGCATGAGAACACCACAACGATCGATAATTTTTACCGAACCACTTTGGCAATGATTTTGGTAAAATCAATAATAAAGTATGGCTTTAAAACCTGTGATGAAATTTGGTAAGATAATCTGATCTTAGAGTATGGCAGAAAAAACTATTTATTCAGCTAAATTTACCTTTCAGTTTCGTATTTTTTAACTAATTGTTTGAAAATATGAACTATAATTTTTGAAAACCAGAAGTTCCGGTAAGCCTTTACCATATGAACGGTAAAATTATAGAGGGAATGCTTTAAATACCGTATAATTTGTTTTTATTAACCGGAAATATGTTTTTTTTGGCGTGCAATATCATAACCATACAGTACGGTATTTTTACCAGAATCGTTTTCTCCACGTGATTCAAATTTACGCAGTTCGGCAATCCAATCAATCCCAAAAACAGTTCTTACAACGCCTCTGCTATGATTTGATTTCAAATGTAGCATTTTAAATGTAAAAAAACTTATTTATAGTTATTCCGATTATATGCTTAGTAATGTTAAAAGTAGTAATATTAAAAACTAGGGGGTTGCTTTAAAAACATATTCATTTTGAAATTAAAAAAATGAACAGCTTAATCTTTTTTTAAACTTCAATAAAATTTCAATTTTGAAAGTTTGAGGAAATATTTTGCACTTTAATATTTCCAACTTACATAAATAACTAACATTTTTAAAATTGTTGGAGTGTTGATTTTTAATAGTTGATTATTGTTAACTAAATTAGTTGTATTACACTGAGAAAAAAAAAGTAGGGTCAAAACTATCAGAATATGGTAAAGCTTACAGTGTTTCCAGCTCTATGAGAATACGAAAAAACTCGAAAACTTTTACCGAATTGCTTTGCTAATGATTTTGGTAAAATTAACTATTTTTGTAACATGTGACAAAATTTGACAAATGTGGTAAAATTTAGCAATTTTTCATGATAGTTTAGAGTATGGTGCAAAAACCATTTATTATTTTAAACTTGATTTTCAGTTTTGTATTTTTTACTAAATATGTGGTAATAAGAGCTAAAATTTTGAAAACCAGAATTTCCGGTAAACCATTACCAAATGAATGAAAAAATTACCACATGAATGGCTTAAATACAATTTGATTTTTAATACCAGAATTATGTTTTTTCTTATGCTTCACCAGAAATGTCATTACCATACAGTGTGGTAGTTTTACCAGAATTGTTTCGCCTTGTAGTAAGAAATGCTAATAGTGAAATTATGCATAAACCTTATTTTTATTTTCATTTCGAATCCACTTTACTTTTTAGGGTGGTGTACAAGGAAGTATTCCGATGACCGCTTTCGTTCTCATTGCTCTCGAAGAATGCGAATGTGATATTGGAGTAAGTGTTCTTGAAATTTTAACATTTTGTTTATGTTAAGTATTATACCTCTTAGATTTTGCATATTTAGAGAACAGAGGTCAATTGAGCACTTGAGCATGTGTTAAACAATTAGAGTTTTCTTAGTTATTAAAGGAATTCTACCCTTATAAATGTAATACACTGACATACTTGACATACACTGACATACACTGACATACTGACATACTTGAAAATATGTAACTTATTGTTTAAGATATGTATGTAATAATTATTTTGATGTTAAGCATTATATCTTTTAAAGTTTTCTTATTTACAAAAAAATAAAAGAGGTGAATTGAGGATGTGTTAAGCATTTAAAGATTTCATAGTTTTTGAAAATGCTGCCTTTATACACTATCTGGCCATATGTAGCCGGACACCCAGTGGTATGAACTTAGAGCGTCCTGAGACACATATTAATATGATGTTGGTCTCCCTTTTGCATCTCGATGACAGCCTGTACACGTCTGGGAAGACTTTTCACCAGTTTTTGATAGGTGGCCGTAAGAATTGACTTCTAGACTTTCATCGCAGCTGACGTAATCTGGCTACCTAATCTACGCTCTAATTCGTCTCAAAGGTGTTCTATGGGATTTATATCGGAGCTCTAAGAAGGCCAGTCCAGTTTTTGAACCCCCATTTCGTCAAACTATGTCTCTGAAAGTCTCGATGTGTGATTGGAGCAGTTAGCCTGCTGGAATGGGCCTTCCCCGAAATATTGTTGGGAGTTCGGTATTGCCCAGAATGTCCACATACTTCTCATAGTTCATATTTCCAACCACAGGAACTAACGGATGTATAGTTTGTCCAAAATAAGAACTTCTCCAGACATTCGTCTGGACCTGTGGCGGTGACCATGGTAACGAGGTATGATTATTTTAAGTAGGGGTGCGGGGTCACTGTTTTTGGCTCGGGTGTGCGAGAGAAAGGGAATCTCTTCGGTCTATTGTGCTAGCCCTATATTGAAGCTACTCTCCCTAAAATGCGCCATTCTTGCTTCTATAGCACCAGACGGCCTTGGACTTTGTGGCGGGAGGAGTTCTTAAATTAGACAAACTATAGACTAAACCACGAGAAACACCCCCACTCCATTATACTTCCACCACTTTAACAACATGGTGTTCGGGTATTTTTGGCAAGATAGTGTATTTTGATGCATAATATGTTTGTAGTTCATTTATTATGAGTTAGACATTCTTACGTGTAAATATAATTTCAATTTAGAATCTTCTTATAACAAAGAAGAGAGCCGTGGCTTATCTTGAAGATCATTTAGGAGAAGTAAACGATCCACTTCCAATTGCTGTAGTTGCCTATGCCTTAACACTGGGTGAAAGTGCATTAAAACAAGCTGCTTATGATAGAGTGGTATCCATAGCAAACTACAATGAAGGTATCTTGTAATATTTTTATATTTTAACATGAAGAAAGGAATGTTAATGAACTTGTCAGGCTTTAAGAAATAGGGAAAAAAAGCAATAGGTTAAAGCATTAATTATTATAACCATTACATTACTACTAAAGTTTTCATTTATCACAATATCAGAGCATAAATTTATAACACTATTACTAGTAAGTATTAGGTGTGGGTTTAATGACCAAACATAATTTAAAATTTATCCAAAAAGTATGGAAATAATCAAATGTTCCGAAAAATGCACATCACCAGAAAAATCTAAAAATATTTTTAAAAAATGAAACCAAATTTGATTCGAACCACTTTCTTCTGGTCATGAGGAAAATTTCAAAAATTTTCATTGGAGTCTCCATTCTTAAAGACAAATTTGGATTTACCTGAAAAAGCTCTCCAATTTGATTTACAAATTGCCTGCAATTCGGTTTGCAGACTATGTTGTTCGAGAATTAAAATGGGTTACAAATTGTTTAAATTGAATAAATCGAATGAAATACGCGCTAAATACAATAAAGTAATAAATAAATAAAAATATGCGTATTTGATCATCTGTGGCTAAGATGGCGAGTTTTGGAGTAATGTTCAAGTTTAGTTTATTTAGATAGGTACATTAGGTAGATCAAGTTTAGTGTTATTACATTTCTCGAGATATTTTCATTTGAAACAATTTGCACATCGTTCTTATTTTGCTATTACTGCGAGGTTTGCAAACCAAAATGCAACAAGCTGTAACTAAAACTGGAGATTTTTTTTCTCTGAAAAATCGCAATTGGCCAAAAATTGGCCTTATTGGCCAAATTGGCCTTATTTAATAATTTGAAATTGCTCCATGATTTCCCAGGTTTGATGTTAGGGGATTTGAAGAAGGTATCATTGATTGAATCGTTTGAAATATATGACACGTATTCAGAGTTTTTTCCCGTAGCATATTTTCGAGATATTTGAACATTTTCATATTTTTTGAACATCCTGTAGAGTTTTACAGTTTATGCATAGAATGTTGTCCAAAAAATTATGCACTTTAAGGGTACAGATTATGTTGCTGTATGGTAGAAAAAAAACGTTTCCAAATTGTGAAATCAATAAATGCAACAGAGGGATTAAAATAATCTTAAATCCGCTCCTTCAAAGTTAAGCTAAAAGCTGTTTTCTAATGATTGAGTGAACCACTTCGCAATTGAAATAGACTGATATTTGTTTTGATTATTTAATAACTCCCTTTTTTTCTTAACTAAATAATTAGTTTCAAGATATTTAAAACACGTATTTTTTTCTTGCTTGAATATCAATTTTCGACCCTTAATATCTATCGTAAGGCTTCATCTTTTACAAAGAATTGTAAAATAAAATTTTAAAAATATTCTTCACAAAAATTTTTAAGGATTTTTAAAGATTATTAAAAAATACAAAGATTTGTAAATGTTATAGAGTTGACTCCAAAAACGAAAATATTCCTCACTGTCGAAACATAAATTGCATGTTTTGACAAAGATTTCAAAACTTTATTTAATCATTATTTCGAAACAAAACAGAAAACACAATTGGTACATTGTTTAGTAAATACTTTGCAATTATATAAGTCAAAATGCTTGAAGATTTTTGAACATTTTTCATGTGTTTATTTATCTATTTTTGAATAGATAAAAATGAGATGCACCTGGGATCGGGTGAAACAGCTGAAAATATTGAAGCTACTGCATATGCATTGCTGAATCTACTACTTTTTGATGATCTTACTCGCGGCAATTCTATTGTTAATTGGCTTAATACTCAACGGTTACAATCTGGATCTTTCAAATCTACCCAAGTAAGAAAAACAACTTCTTACTTTTTTATGTTACTAACATTTTTACTCTAATAAATCTATTATGAACTGTATAAGTTTCTGTATAAGTCCAGAAACACGAGAATTTCTCTTAGCTCTTTTAAAAACGCGCGAAATCAAGTTTATCATTAAAAGAGTAGCACTGTAAATTTTTTAGATGGGAATCTACTTCAAATCATTTGTCAGGTGTCTCATGTAAAACTTTTCATTAAATTTGAACCTCTTAAACTCTGGAGAAAGTGCAAGCCAATCATACTGTAGAAAATTTTACATTGAAATCTAATAAAATCTCGTTAAGTTGTGTTAAATTTGTTCGTTAAGTTAAGTGTTAACTTTAGAGTCTCATGTAAAATTCTTCACTAAATTTAAACAACTAAAACACGATAGGAGAAAGTGCAATTCGATCACATTGAAATCTATTCGCTAAGTTAAGTATTAAGTTAAGAGTCTCATAAAAATTCTTCGCTAAATTTAAACCACCGAAACACGATTGAAGAAATTGCAATCCGATCACATTGTAAAAAGTTTTACATTGAAATCTACTCGAAGTGATTTATTAAGAGTCTCGTAAAATTTTTCTCTAAGTTTAAACAATCTAAACAAGATTGAAGAAAGTGCAATCTTATCATATTGTCAAAAGTTTTACAATGAAATCTACTCGAAGTGATTTATTAAGAGTCTCGTAAAATTTTCACTAAGTTTAAACAATCTAAACAAGATTGAAGAAAGTGCAATCTTATCATAATGTCAAAAGTTTTACACTGAAATCTACTCGATCTGACTTATGAAGAGTGTCATACAAAATTTTTCACTAAATTTAAACATCTAAAACACGATTGGAGAAAGTGCAATCCGATCACACTATAAGAAAATTTACTTTGAAATCTACTTGAAGTGATTTAGTAAGAGTCAGTCTCATGTCAAATTTTTCACTAAATTCAATCCTCTAAAACATGATTGAAGAAAGTGCAATCCAATCACATTGTAAAACGTTTTGCAATGTGATCGTGCTAGTGTTAATGTTTTATCCCCAGAGCAGCTACGGCTCAAATTTCAAGGTTTAAAAGTTTTCAGGGGCAAGCATTCGATTTAAATAGTAAAAAAAAAATATGGATGTCACAAGCATTTATTTACAGCACCTAAGAATTTTCAAACAAAATTTAGAATTTTTAATGCCGAAAAAAAATATAGTTTGAAAATCGGGTTGGAAAAGAGCCATTATTTCCGCAAAATTCCTCCTCAATCAATTCTTCTTCACCTAGTATTCCGTCATCTTCTTCGCTACACTTTTATTTGTTCGTCTTTTCTACTCGTGAGCAAGAAACGCTTTTCTTCAGCATGGCTCATCTTTACTGCGTGATAACTCTCAGGGAGAATCGATTTTCTACGTTATTGATTTGTCAAAACCAAGTAATCATCAAAACTCAACTGGTAGCGATCCAATCGTAATTTGTGAAAAACTAACATAAACTGTTCTTTCCCCTTGATCTTCGTTAGATTGTTTAAGCTGCTTTTTTAGAATATAAATAACTTACAAATTCAACCAAGCTATTTATTTATTTCAACATTTAATTCAAAATTCACAATACTTATAAATATTTTTTAATTTTGCAAATTGTAACTATATATTGATTACATATTTTTCTTATCCTGAATGCTAGGATACCGTAGTAGCCTTACAAGCTTTATCAGAATATGCCATGAGGGCTCAACTGCCCTCAGTTAACCTTGTAGCGAACATTTCATCGAGTAACGACAGAAACTTTCATAAAGTTCTTAGTTTTACTGAACAAAATGCGCACATTTTACAAGATATCAAAGTAAGTTGAAAAACAATATATTTTTCTTTTTACTCGTTCAAATTCGTGACTTTATTAAACTACATTTTTTAATGTTATTTTAAACATTGCTTTCAGTATCTTTAATTGATACTATTATATAAAGTTGCATTTTTGGTTTATTCAATGTTGATTTTTATAGTTTATTGTTATGCTATAATATAAAAATTTAGGTATGGTTTAGTTGTTAAAGCCACACTAGAGCTTCAATACTGGGCTATTAGCAATGGTTTGCGATTCATCGCTAATGATGGTTCAACGACAACACTGGTGCATACACACTCCACAATGCTGCAATTTAGACAAGAGCACAAAAGGTGGTGGTAATCACCTGACCTCTACTCCAAGCTCCCCAGCCATCCCGTCAATTGTTAACATTAACTGCAATGAAACCTCTGTGGACTTTACTTTAGAGTATATTTCGTACCACTGAGACACAATCTGAGGAAGTTCAATCTGATGAGACCCATTATTTAGTATGGAGGATTGAACTCCGGTCTAAGCCACAGTTGACTATGAATGCACCCACATAAGGTGGCAGAGGAATTTAGAAAGAAGCTATTTTTTTACTATTAGATTTCGCTATTAGCTAATTTCTTCAGAAAAGCTAATCTTGTGCTTTAGCTTTCTTTTAAAGAGTAAAAAAGGGTTCATTGTTTTTTTTTATTGCTTAACATTTTTACTTTTTTGTTTATTGTGTTTATTACTTAATGCTATCGATTGCGCAAAGCTGATTTTCAATAAAATTTACAAGCATCTGGTATTTTGTTTTAAACCAAATAATATTTACTCATATTTTTTTTTATTAATCTTTAGCCATGTTTATTATCTTGTCAGATTAAAATATATAGTATTGGCTGCATAATATTAACAGTAACTTTTGAAGAAAAAAAAATACGCAACTTATCTAATTTTTTCATTATTACTATTATTATTATTATTGTTATTATTATTTTTTGAATATTTATTCAGATTCAATTTTGTTACTTTTCCATACATGTTTTGCTCATTTAGTGTTTTACTTTTCCATTTAATCCCGATATTTATACACATTAATTTTGTTACTTTTTAGGTTAATAAAATCGGAGGAATGCTGTTTGTAAATACTGGTGGACATGGAATCGGATCACTATCTGTGAAATTGCGATATAATGTTCTTCATTCTGCCGAAAAAATGTGCAAAGCAAGTATACTTAATACATTAATACACAGTAGTTCGTAATTTCTAAAAATAAAGCTATTTAATTAAATACAGGGTCTCACAAAAAAAACGGAAACTTTTTAACCATCCTGTAAAACCAAGAGTGATGGAAGTAAAACCTTTTATTCACAGTAGTTAAAAGTTTAAAATTTGCCATTTTAAAATTATTGATGGAATTTATCATTTATTAAAAATTACGTCCTTTAGAGGCCGTCCTCCTTTACGAATGCATTCTTGAAATCTGCTTTTGAGATTCCTCATTGACGAGCATTTCTTGGTCGTCCTGTTGGTTACCTCTTTAGAAAGATATAATCCTTTGGGCAGATCTAATCCTTTGCAGCGTAACATGAAAAACACATATTCGGTGACCTTTCAGTCTGGTATTTTCACTAAATGTGGGGTAATAAGAGCCATAATTATGAAAACCAGAATTTCCTTTAAATTTTTCAGTATGAAAGAAAAAATTATCAAATGAATGGTTTAAATACCGTATATTTTGGTTCATATTATCCTCAAAGTTACGCTTTTTTTACTAGAAATATCATTACGGTAATTTTAGCAGGCTTTTTTTGTCTGTGTACTCGTAGATTATATAAAAGTTTGCAGTGGATTTCTGTATTGGATCATGGCAATGAAACATTGTGATTTAATATTGAACTAATTTTTCTGACCAAACCAAAAATTTATAGGTTTTGCTGTGTTAAGCACAACTTTGCATCACCTGAAAAATTGAAATTCATATAACTTTTGGGTCGAAGGCCATACCAGACCTGTAATCTCCCCATGATTGTACATTCGATTGATCATTAATACATAATATAATTTAAGTACTTTGAACTTTATTATGGTGCAAATTTACAGCATCATTGATAAGACAATGCGCTGAACCATGTATTTATTTAAATTGAACTGTATTCAAGGTTAAGAAATACAATAAAGTGGTGCATCTCGTTAAGATTGTGGACAGTTTAAATGATATTAACTTTCAACACACTTCAAACCTATTAACAGTGCACAAGCTAGTTTCAGAACGCAACCTGTGTGCATTTTACTAACTTTTAAAACAGCATTTCTTTGTTATTTCATATAATTTTGTTGCTTCACCAAACTATTTATCTATAATCTTAATAAATAATAAAAATCTATCAAATCATTTATATTTGCAGTTTGACGTGTCAGTCAATGCTACAGAAATTAAGAAAGAAAAGAGAGTTCCATTAGTTTTAAATCCTAAAGGAAAAGATTTGTTTGAACGTTTTCCTCCTGATCTCATTAGAGGAGTTCAAGAAGCTTTGGGTAAGAATATTATTCTTCCTTTTTACAACTGAAAATGGCGAAGCATTAATCCAGTAGAATGTTCTAAAAATTTCCATTTGGAGAAAAAGGAATAATTTATTGTTACTGAAAGGGATTTTAAAACATATTCACAGTTTAGAAAATTTTTCTTAGCATGAGGGACAAAATATTACTTTAACGCATCACTTCATTTGATAACGTTTTTGTTTTTTTTAAATTTCTTGAAATTTTTGTACTTTAAATGACGATTATTTGAAAAACATCGAAATTTCATTAAAAATTCTAAATAGATTTATCTGTTTTCCTCCCATGTGATTTCTTAGCTGTTGATAGCGTTTTCGATTTTTCATCGATTAAATATTTGCTTTCTTCCGTGCATACTTTTTTTGATATCACATTTGTCTAGGATTCTAAAAATATATATTTAGGGTAGTGATGACAGCGCATCCTATATACAGCACATCCTACATACAGTAATAAATTCTCAAGATTAATTGCTTCTGCAACTCATGACAGTTGATAAATTAATTTAAATTGTTCTAATGAATTTTTTGCCTATTCAAAATTTATGTAGCACCATGCAAGTAATTTTTAAAATATACAGAGCTTTAAATGTTCAATAATATTGGTTTAACTATTAGAGACCTAACCATTGAAGCCTTATACTTTTTTGACATTACATTTGTCTTGGATTCAAAAAATATATATATTTAGGATAGTGAATACAGCATACCCTGTATTTATATCCTGTAATAGATTCTCAAAATTGTTTGTCTCTGTATCTCATTCAAATTGATAAATAATTTAAATTTTTAGCAAATTTTTAGCAAAATTCAATATTTATATCATGGCATGCAAGTCTTTTTTAGAACTTACTAAATTTTGAATTTTTAATAATGATGGTTTAGCATTGGAAATCAAACCAATGGGGCATTTTGTTGATAATTGTTACAAAGAATGAGTAACGCATGTATATTTTTACATTAAAAGACTGAAGTTGAAATGGTGAAAAAATTTAATTGGTGAAAAAAAAATCGTATTTAAAGTAATAAGAATTGATGCGTTCTGTTGATAATCATTTAAAAATTAAGAACCGCGTGTATTTTATTTATAGTAAAAAGCCGGGAATAAATTTTTAAAAAAAATGATATGGTGATAAAAATATTTAAAATAATATGAATTGAAAACTATAAACACGATTGACGCTTTGAATTTTGTCAACTGCTTAATTTTTTCAGATCTCAAAGATGACGTACCGGTTATAGCCGTTGATCCAAGAAACAGAAAACAACCTTTAGTTGGAGATCGTGAAGCTTTGATAGGTAAATACTCTTTTCTTCCTCAAATTCATAATTTTTTTAAATTAATTAAAATAAACCTGATTATTAATTTCTTGCTCACACAATTATGATTAAGTAAAAATTGTCCACTCAAGTCTGTAACCGTTCTTTAAACATTCAAATGTTTGCAGTTATTGTGATAAAAGTGGTGGAAGTGTAGTAAAGGAGCAAGGCACCGGACTACATGGAACTGCATATAGCGCAACCTAGTGTAAAAGGGCAGAGTTAAGGCTTTAGTTTCAAAAGTGGTATTATACTCGTAAAAAAGAAGGATTTAAAAGATTGTAGAATATCATCAATTTCATGCAGAATAACCACGGAGTTGACATTAATGCTAAGAAGAGAACGCTGAAAAAAACATCATTTGCTTGTTCATGATGTTCCTCATAAACACGTGATAAAGCGGTCTTAAAAGGACGCCATACCGTGGAAGAAAATTTTCGTTGCAAATTCTCTTTCACATCTATGAAAAATTTGAAATTTAAAAGAAAAAAAAAGTAAGTTCAGGCAAACCTAGAGTTTGTCATGCTGAAAAAAATACTTTAAAATATTAAAATGCAAACAAATTATTAGAAGAAAACTTCTCTGTTGCTTAATAAGTTATCAACTTATAATTTATTTTCATAATCTATATATATATTTCTCTTACACGGCACCAAAAAAAAAGCCTCATTACAACTCCCCGAATGGCAACGTTAGAAAATCGACCAATGATTGCTGCTTAAAATGTCACATGGAAAATGTCACATGAGGTGGCTCAAACTTATAGCGCTTTTAAAAACGGAAACAATAACCAGAGTGAGTATTATCAGGTTGCTTAATTCAGATTCATGCTCTAAAAACATGATAATATTTAATTTAAACTCAATTAGGAATTAATTAATTAATTGAAGTGAGAATGCTTTAAAAGGCCGCTGTTGAATTGATATTTTTCAACTGGGAGCTACCTAAACGTATAAGTGTTTGTATTGAATGCATTGAATTTTTTTATATTTCGCGTTTATTTATGCATTGAATTTTCACGCTTTAAAATGCAGAATATTAGTGAAGCAATATTTGATAATTTATTTTGCTAATATGTTTCTTATTTAGCTAATGTTTTGATTTTTTCACCATGTACAATCTAAATAGCTAATATACTTTTTTAAAAGCCAATAAGAACATTGGTAGAATTCATCTACATAAGTACAATACTATGTCTTTGATGATAAAATACTATGTCTTTGTGCTAGAACATTGTGTTCATTGGCGACCAAACGCAGCGAGCCATGGTTCACGGCGTGAACCACATAGGATTGCGTAGCAATTCTCGGGGGTTGGCGAGCGTTAGCGAGCAGGGGGCGGAGCCTCCTAGTTTAGTTTAAAAAATGAGTTTCAGTGTATGAAATTTCACGGCCTTCTCTAGGTTTGTCTGAACTTTCTCTACACTTTAAATTTTAAATTGGTCAAAAAGGAGAAGGAGAATTGGCGACGAAAAGTTTTACCCGTGATATGACGTCCTCTTAACTATCTTGCAACGAAAAATTATTTCACTACACCCAGACATTTTTAACTGCAACTGCAGCTGTTCGAAAGTTAAGAGATTGATTACGGACTTAAAGGGGCACATGTTATTATTGTTGATTTGTATACTGGTTATTCTTACAAAATTTATTTTTTTTCCAGAAAAAGTAAGAAATAAAAGAGAAAATCAGATGGATAAACTTCAAAATAGCAAGTTGATGTTAAAAGTTTTAATTTGCGTCAGGTTTGTTTCATATTTATCAGTAATTCACAAAAAACGTTTTATAAAATAAAGAGAAATTAAAAAATTTAAAAAAAAAATTCACAAATAAATTTTTAATTTTAATTATAATAATTGGAAAATCAAGATTTAAAAACGTATACGAAGATAGTTAAAGAGAATTATTCAGATAGAATTTTTTTTAATTGCAGAATAAACTATTACTTTAAATGCCATTCCGAATTAAGTTTTTTTACACGTAACTGGATTTCTCAATCAAAGAAAATTTAAGGAATCGATATTCATGTATTTAGTTAAGAACTATTACTTACTTACAAAATAAACGATTTTTTTAAGAACAAATTATAAAAAGATCACGAAATTCAAATAATAATTTTTATTGAAGTGAATAATCCTAAGAAACTAAAACAAAGTATTGATAATAGAGAAGCTTCAGAAGTCTCAAAAATTATTTAGCTCAAAAAGTAGACTTGTTTCGAGTGCTCAAAACTAGACGCCCGTTCTCAAGATCCAAAAAATTATTAAAAAAAGGAAAATAAAACAGATATGAAAAAAGAAAACGTAAAATTGCTAACGAAAAAGTAGAAAATGAAATAAAAGTGAAAAAAAAATGTGCTAGATGAGAGAAACGATGGTTTTCGGAAGAGGTAAATATGGATTCGATTTCGTGTTCCTCTTTCCGATTTCGTGTTTATTTTCACTTTTATTTCATTTTCTAATTTTTTTTGGCAATTTTACGTTTTTTCCCTCCAAATCTGCTTTGTTTTTCTTCATTTGCTCACATCAGGTATACTGGGTCTTGAGAATGAGTGCTTTGTTGTACTCGAAGCATGTCAATTATTTCACTTTGGTAATTTTTGAAGCTACTAAGTTTTCCCATTGTCAAGAGAAAATTTTTTAATTGTTACGAAAAATTTCCGAAAAAACGTAACCTTATCAAAACAATGAATGCATTTCAAATTTAAGTCAATAACATATGCTTCAAATATAAAATAGCTTATACTCAACAATAAACTTTTCATTTATTTTATAATGAAATGAACAACTTCATTCATTGCAATTTTAATTTATTTATAATGAAATGAATGCTAAATCAAGAATTAACGAAACAAGCTGAAAAATAAGATTCTGACCTTTCAATTCTTCCCAACTTATAGCTCAGTTTGTTTCAATTTTTCGTTGTCCATCTGGAAAAAGATTTTTCATTCAGAAATTTGAAAGCACGTAGGTTTACGCTTTCATGCTTATGACAACAGCTCATTTGCTTGATATTTCATTTTTTACTGCTTACGGAATAAGAACTTTTTTTACAGTATTTTTGCAGTGTATGTATAATAAATCAAAGATGTTTTTGCAAATAACATAATTTTAAGCATTAAATCACATTATGGTAAATTATTAGCCTATTTTATAGCAATGATATATGTTTCAGATATTTAGGATCAAATCCAGTTGGTATGAGTATCGTTGATGTTGGAATATTTTCTGGATTTCAACCAAACAGAGATGACTTGATAGAGGTAAATTGTCTTTTAAAGAATTTTTTGGTATAATAAAGATGGCTAGTTATCTAAAAATAACAAAAAAGTGATGACGGTGCAAATAAGTAGTGATTATTTCCATTGAAGTCCGTCACATCATTGTTACAAGGCATTACATCTTATAAGCAACAAAGGTATCACATTTAAGAACAAAAAAAAAACTTTATGGCATTTCTAAACTTCATATTTTATAAGCAGGGTGTTCCGTAATCACTGCTCTTAATATACGCTTTGAGAATCCTTGTCAAAGGATAAATAAAAATACATGCACATCAAGATTTGTAAAATAATAGTTATGCTTCGTAAAAACAAAAACGCCATCTGCCAAATTTCTCGAGAACAAACACAGAGAAACAAAATTCCGGTAAAATTACCGTGTTGTATGATAATAACAGTTTTGGTAAAAATAAAAGAAAACCTTCATAATTCTGGCTAATAGAGCTAAAATATACGGTATTTGAGCCATTCATTTTGTAATTATTCCGTCCACGTGGTTGTGGCTTACCGGAAATTCTGGTTTTAAAATTACAGTTCAAATTACAACTTATTTAGTAAAAAATAAAAAAAATAAAAGTAAATTTAACCGAATAAATGTTTTTATACCCGTAATAAAGTATCATGATAAAATTACTAAATTTTACCACATTTACAAAGTTTCATCAGATTTTATAAGGCCATATTTTATTATTAATTTTATCAAACTCATTATCAAGGCTCTTTGGTAAAAAGTACCGTGCTTTTTGTTGCTCCCATAGAGCTAGAAACTCTGTATAATTTACCATATTCTGGTAGCTTCCACCATACTCTTTTTATAAGGGAAACATCAAATCCAGTTTGATTATCTGATGAAACGTATAGGTGTTTCTAATAGTTGCCTTTCAATATCTCTCAGTTTCTCTGGCAATCAAACAGATCCACTTTTCTCTGCAAGGATTTGTTCGATTTCGTTAGTATTTTTGTTTCTTCCTCACCTTAATACTAATTCATGACTCCTAATATAAAAAAATTTTTGATATCATCCATGACAAGAAATTTTTAATCTATATTTTAAGGTTGGTTATTACATAATATTCTTTTTAATGATTTTTTTACAATTTGCTAATTATTAAATGTATCCTCCACACACAAATTATGAAGACAACTGTTTTTTTTTTTAACTCTGATTTTATGATTCATTTTTTTTTATCATTTATTCTCAGTTGCAAGAAGATCCTAATCACTTGATTGAAAGATATGAAATTTCAAGTAAAGGAGTCGTGTTCTACCTGAAAACGGTTAAGTATTGTTTTTAATTTTCTTAATTGATAGATTTTGTTTTTATGTTTGTTTTTGTCAAAGTAATTGTCATTAATCTAATTAATTATAATTAATTATATTTGATTATAATCAATCATAATTAATTATAATTAATTATAATTAAACGTAAATAATTATAATTAAATATAATTAATTATAATTAATTGTAAATAATTGTAATAATTCATAATTAATTGTCATTAATTATAATTGATTGTAATTAATTATAATTATGAGTAATTAATTCAATTATGCGTAATTAATTTTAATGATTATAGTATTTTAATAATTGATTGTAATTAATCACAATAATTTAAAAACCTTTCTCACAAAATAAAACAAATGGTTTGTAACTCTCTCTATATTTAAATTTTCTTAGCTTAAAACGGTCGTAAATATATTTTATCAATTTTTGGTGTTAATAAATTTGTGAGGGAGTACATTTTGTAATTAATAAATTATAAAATTTTGTTAAGAGTCGAAAACAGCTTTAAATTATTTAATCCTTTCATCTTTATGATGTACAGTTATATGTAAAGCTTAGTTGCGATTTCGTCTACTAGCAAGTAGCAAATTGCTGGTTAAAAAGTCAATTGCCAGTAACAGAAAAAAAACAGTAGCAAAAATTGATACTATTTTCTTGTGATCTGGATTTTCGATCGTTTATCCGTCTCTTTTCATGTGATTTTTTGAATCCTGATATTTTTAATACGGTGTTATCATGACACGCGAATTTTAAATTCGAGTTATCACTTCGTGACGCTTTCGATTAACGACGATTCCAACGTAAATCCCCATTGTTTTTAGATATTTATTAATCATTTTTTCGACGATATCTACATGTTTCGTCAAATATCGGTATTTTTAATATCAAGATACTGTGGCACTCCAAGTTCGAATTTGAGTAATCACTTTTTGCCATGCTTTAGTCGCGACCATTAGATCGTTTATCTTCTTCAATTTCCGACTATTTTACGATCTTTTTTCATGTTTTTTTTATAACGACAATTTTAATATTATGTTATTACGATACAGGAATTGCAAATTTGACTAATCATTTTTTGACCAGCTCATGTCGCGATAATCCCGTTGAAAATCAACATCATTTTCTAATCGCTTTCTTGGCAGTTGTTACAGCTAGTTGCCTTACTTCCTGCCCAGCAATTTCTTCTTATTTTAAATAAGACATCATAATCGATACATTCATAATCGAGCATTTGAGTATTTCACTTTTTATACAAGTATAAATATTTAATATTTGCCATTCAGCGATCGTTTTATTTCAATAAGTCACACAGCAATGATTGTATTGAATTCTCTAAATCACATAATGTATTGCGGTAACAGTTTAAAAAATGCTTGTATGAACCTCGATTTTGCTAGTGGTATTTTTTAACGCCAGCAAACTCTGCTACTGAATTTAAAAAATGAAGTATTTCCCTGGTTGTAAAATAATTCTAAGTTGAAGTGAAAAATAACTCAAGCAAAAGTGATTAGATTTTGCCAGTTTTTAACACTCGATACGTTGTATCGAATATAGAACCTTATAATTTGTATCGAATATAGAATCTATAATTTATAACTCAATAAAAGTAAAAACTGTTTTCAATTTGAATGTTACGTAATATAAGGCTATCGTTTATCATTATATTTCGTTAACAAGTAAAATTACTTTTCATTTAGTGCTTTGTATTGTATCGCACATTCTTTATTTCTAAATTTAAATGTTTTTTTTCAAGTACAGTTGTTTATTTTTTAAATCTAGGCATCCGTTTATTTCATTATAACTGACATATTAACAAAATGTGCTTAGATAAAATTATAATTTTCACATTTATTGTTAAGAAAAAAACGCAATGATAAATGAGAAGCTACCACAGTTCGGGGTTGATAAGCGGAGTTTCCTAGTTAACAACAAAAATAATTGCTAATTTTACGTCAAGAAGATCGAGAACTGGTTAAGTTTTAACAGTATGAGGTATAAACTTGTATGTGAGAATTTACAAGTCTAAAAATTATTTATTAGTCTATTCTTATAAATTTAATTTCAGTATTTGATGAATAGTTTTTTTAAGCGATACCATTTTGAATAAGTTAATTCGAGGGAGAATTAATACTTTGATTTTCATGTGACTAGACAGTTGTTGTTGTGTCTAGTCACATGAGTTGTTGTCATGTGACTGGACAAAAGTTGGGAAAACTCAATCAAGCATCGTAAAAGTATATGCTTATTATAATTCAGAAATTATTTTGAATAGGTTCCTTCGAGGAATAATTATTGCTTTGATTTTCATGTGACTAGAGAGTTAATTGTTATGAAAATTCAATCAACCTTGTAAAAGTATATGATTATTATAATCTAGGAGTTATTTTGAATAGGTTCCTTCTTGGGAGAATTATTGCTTTGATTTTCATGTGACTAGAGGATATATTGTTGGAAAAACTCAAGCAAGCATTGTAAAAGTATATGATTATTATAATCCAAGAATTATTTTGCATAGGTTCCTTCTAGAGAGAATTATTGCTTTGATTTTCATGTGACTAGAGAATATATGGTTGGAAAAACTCAAGCAAGCATTGTAAAAGTATATGATTATTATAATCCAGGTGAGTGAATAATTATCATAAATATACATTAGAAGCTAACTGTTTAGCTATGCATGCATCTGAATTTTTTTTCTTTCGAAATTGACTTCAAACAGAACGCAGTGCAATTGATCTGAGATCCGTAACTTATAGCTTCCTGTTAAAATATTTGTTATCACGAAAGCATTTAAAGAAACTTTTTCCAGTTCTTAAAATTAATGACTGAAGAAAATTTAAGATGTCCACTGAAGAAGACCTGTTTCTTTCAGTGGGCCTATAGAAATTTTTTTTAATATTAGCTTAACATTTCATAATATTAACGTCAGCATCTAAATATGCGTTGAATGGAAAAAAATAATTGCATTTACTAGCATGAAACTATAAAATTGCTGAGCTTAACGATTTTAGGAATTTTTTATTTATATATTTTAATTCGTTTAAGTGGCTAACAAACTCTCTATATATTTGTTTAGTGCATGATATCAAAATAATGCCAACTCAGTATTTAATATTTAAGTCATATCAGAAAAACAAAATATTGCATTAAATTTGAATGTTGGTGAATTTTAAAAGTTCTGCCAGAAATAGATGTAACAATAATGGTAAAAATGATGATAAACGGTGTTAAGTGTATTTTTAAAGAACGCTGTAAAAAAATCTGGATAAAATTACGATAAAAATACTGGCATTTTAAGGGCAGCATCCGTAAACACATTTAACCGTAAAATCTATTTTTACCATAATATTTCAAACCGTAGTTTTCACAGTAATATTTGTTTAACTGCAGTGATTTTCTGTAAATATTACAGCAAAAATTAGGTTATATCAGATTTTTTGTTCCATAAAACTTAATGGTATAAATGGATCTTACCGTAATTTGATCCAGACTTATTTGGAGTGTATTATGAGAAATTCAATGCATACTGATATTTAACGGTTTTCGTTTTTAATTTAATAATTTATTCTGTGTTTTGAAAACTATAAGATTACCGTTTATAACCGTTTATTTTAAACAGATGAAGCATGCAGTGCGTTTTATGGTCCTGGTAATAACAGTCCTTTGTTACATACTCTTTGTGATGGTGGAGTCTGCCAATGCGCTGAAGGTAATTTTTTTTGTTTGTTTTTCATTTTCAAGCAACTTTCTCAATGCTTTCGATGTTTCTTTCAGAATTGTTTAAAAACGCAAAAGCTAGAGCCATGGTGGCTTAGGGGATAAAGAGCTCGTCTCCCAATCAGATGACCCGGGTTCGAACCTTAGTGATGGCTGATCGATACGAATTTCGCACCCGACTTGCACTGACGACAGTGCTGACGAAAAATGTCCTCAGTGGTAAACGGATCAAGGGTTAAATTACTCTTGCCGTCAGGCTAATCGTGGGAGGTTTTCGTGATTTTTCACTCCATATAATGCAAATGTGGGTTAGTTCCACCAAAAAAGTCCTCCGTGGAAGCAAAATTTCTCTCAATACATCCAAGAGTTCCCTAGTCGTCTGGATTGGGTTCAAAATACAAGGCTATGGAGTTGAACATTTGTAGCCTAAACTGAAAATTGCATGGGCTGTTCAATATATATATACCAAAGAGATAATTCGTAAAGAAGTACAAAGTTTTCGTTTGTAATCGAAATTTTGACCATTTTCCGACCATCTGGTTAGTTCAGATTTATACTGGATCTCTACGCCTGATAACAATGCAAAATATTATTTTTTTAGCAGCTGAAAGCTTGATGTATTTCCAAATAGATCTAATAGTTCGCCCTTTTCCGACCATCTTAAATTATTAAATTTTAGCTGGAATTCTGTACCAGATGAAAATTGAATTTTAATCGTTTCTCTTACTGCTACCTGTAGAACTTATTGTCATTTTATTCCCAATCTAAAATCTTACCAATTTTGACTCGAATTGTAAATGGAACTGTACTTTAGATAAAATACAAATTTTGATCGTCTTTCTTATCGATGTAAATATATTCTATCGCCATTTTATCGATTAATTTAATTTTTAGCTAATCCTATTGGTAAGTTTAAACACGGTTATCGTTCTCTCTGATTTGTTCTGTAAATACACAACATCTTATTTTTTGAAATAATGCATTTGTTTCGTATTAGATTTATAATCAGTGTTGAACAGTCAACCCATTTATGAGTTCACGCCTATCAATGCTCAACTTTCGAACCTTTGTAATTTTGAACCCAACCCAAAAGACAAGATAATTCCTGGATCAAGCATTGGGACAAATTAGCTTTCGTTGAAGACTTTTGGGGACTAACCTGCTTTTTCGTTAGAGGGAGAAGAAAACCACGGAAATATCTTAAGGTTATTTCGAAGGCAAGAGGATTCTAACTCATGATCCTTCTACCAATAAGGATATTTTATATCAGCACTGTGGCTGATGCGAGCCGGGAGAGAAATTAATATAAATCACCCGCCGGTAAGATTTGAGCTTAGGTCATCTCATTGGGAGGCAAATGCCCAATTCCCTAAGCCACCGCACCTATTTATATGAAATTAATAATTGGGGAGCCACAAAACGGTGAGCCTGTGAGGAAGAGTCGAGCAATCAGTGCCATTTCGAGAAAAGTATAGTTCATGTGAGCTGTTGCAGATATATATAGATATAGATATTTTTTGTATGAATCGAAAATTTTATTTCCGCCACAATTAAATTTATGAGACATAAATGTTATAAATTTTTTGAATTTCAGACACCTCCATAAATGAGTTTTTTTTTAAATATCGGAACGATTTTATCTAGTTGATGAAAAACATAAATTTTTTTTGAAGAAATCATGTCGTAGGATATTTAATAAAAATAAATAAGATAAACTTATAACTTTTGTTTAAATTCTATTATTTAAAGAAGATTCAGTATTTAATTTGTATGTTTTAAATAAAATTTAATAAATTATTTGAACATTTTTTATTGTGTTTTTGCTAAATTATACCGTTGTGGAATGATGTTTGTAGTTTTTAAGGGCGTAGAAAAACTAATTAAATTTTGTTTTGTAAATAATATTTATAGGTGGTTGTCCTCCTCAACATCCATTTGAAGAGGTAAAAAAATATAATGATCCATCTGAAATACGGGATAAGTTAAGGGATATAGCTTGTGATAATTACGATTATGGTGAGATATGTTACCACTAATTATTTCGTCTTAAATTATTAATGTTTACTTATTTTTTTTGCATTGATTTTGTATTGTTTTTTTTTTCAAAGGACTGTTTCAGTGTTATTAATAGATGTACATATTTTATAAGTACAGTGTGCAAAAAAGAAAACGGACTATCCTGAATAACTTTTGATCTAATGATCGGATCTTCACGTTCTAGGACTCAATCTTAATGGTTTGAGGGAGCGACGTCAAATATGCTAAGTAATTAGTGCAGCCGATATTTTTAAGTTACGAAATCAGACACAAAAACGTATTTTATCTGAAAAAATATACCTTTTTTTCAAATAATTAATAAATTTTAAAAAAATCAGATATTTAAAACTCAATTTCGCAGGTACTGTTCGTCCGATTTTGCCCAAATTTTGTATTTCGCCATGTAAAATTACGTTCTTTTAACTGATGCAAAAAAATTTTATACCTTACAATTCAAATTTTTTGACCATTATTGAATAAAATAATAAACAACAAATATTTATCAAAAACTGTTTTTGCGAGGAAATTACCTTTGGAATCGAATTTTATAACTGAGTGCAAAATAATAATTTTTCAATAGCTTAAAAAGTTTTCGAGATATAAAGCGAAATACGCAAAAAATAAAATTAACATCAAGCGGTACAAACTTTGGAGCTCTTTCCTGATCAAAATATTGTTACCATATTACCCAGATTGCGACCACCCCCTATATTTTGGGAGTCAAAAATCCAAATTCGTCGAAAAAAAGGTATTATGTTTATTCCGAGAAAGCACGTTTTTGTGTCTGATTTCGTAACTTAGAATATCGTTTGCACTTATTAATTCGCATATTTGAAGTAACCTCTCAAACCATTAAGATTGAGTCCTAGAACGTGAAAATACGATACTTAGATCAAATGTTGTTCAGGGTGGTACATTTTTCCCCCCGCATTATACATGATTTTTCGCTTAAATTTTTCCTATAATTTTAAATGGTCATTTAATTTAATGTAAATATAAGTATGGTAATAAATATTTTCTTACTGATATACATGAATATATATTTTTGTATTATATTTTTATCGAATATTTCAAATTAGTCTGTTTAAAACATAAATATGAAGAAAAAAACTTTCAATTGCAGTTAAAATTCAAAAAGTCTCTTAAAATACTTAAGTCTCTTAAAATTTAGATGTGTATAAATGATTAAAGCAGTTAACTTTTAAATTAAAACGGCTAAATAATTTCGAACTAATTATTTAATTTAAATAGAATTATGATTTTAGTGCCATATTGTTTTTTTCGCAAATTATGTAAGCTGATATCTTATTATTTCGCTTAACTTAATAAATAAAAATAATCGCTGCTGTGTTTCAAAAACTTTATAAACTAATGAAGCTAAGCAATAGGGCTAAACCACATTTTTTTTTCTTGAAAGGGTGAGATTTTTAAATCAAACTGTTCATTATTGCTGTTTTTTGAGAGAGACTGAAAAATTTCCAGAATTTTCACTAGAGGTACTGGGTGCAAAAAAAAAAAAAAAAAAAGAAACGATCCACCCTAAATAACTTTTAATTTACTGATCGGATCTGCACGTTCCAGAACTCAATCTCAATGGTTCAAAAGAGTAACTTCAAATATGCTAATTAATTAGAGAAGACGAAATTTTAAGCTGCGAAATCAGACACAAAAACGTGCTTTCTTTGAATAAGCATACCTTTTTTCGACGGATTTGGATTTCTGACTCCCAAAATATGGGGGGTAGCCGAAATCAGTGAAATATGATCCCAATAATTCCTTCAGAAGAGAGGTCAAAGGTTTGGACCCCTTAATTTATTATTTGAAGAGTTTTACAGGATGTTCCGTAAATACCTCTGTCAATATACATTTTTAAAATCCTTCTTTCAAATGAAGGAAAACAAAAAGCATAAAATTTTCAAGTTTCGAATTACAAACAAATAAGTTCTTTACAGAACACATTGCACATATTTACTTTATTTATTTATTTGTGATTCGCAGAGTTGTATCAGCCATAGATTCAAATTATTACACGGAAAAAAAATCTGATAAAATTACTTTATTATGTGGTAATAACACTTCTGGTAAAAAAAAGAAGAAGAAAAAATGATTAAGTGAATAAAACCAAAATATAGGGCAATTAAACCATTACCTAAGTAATTTTTTCCGTTCATATGGCAATGACTACCGGGAAATCTGGTCTTCAAACTTGTAGTTCTTATTACCACACATTTAGTAAAAGATACAAAAAATAAATTAGCCGAATAAATGGTTTTTAATGCTATGCTCTAAGGCATCATGATGAAATAACTAAATTTTGCTACATCTACCAAATTTTATCCCACATTTTGAAACCATGTGTTATCATTAATTTTGCAAAAATCATTACCAAAGCGTTTCGCTAAAAATTGCCGAGTTTTTCGGTGTTCCTCTTATAGAGAGAGAAACGCGGTAAATTTTACTACATTCTACCACTTCTAAACATACTTTTTTTACTGTATATATCGCTCATTTGGTGAAACAATGACGTTACTGATAGTTTCTATAATATATCAGTTACGCCATTGTTTCACCAAATAAGCGATAAATCCGTCTTGACTGTAGTTATTAATTATTGTTGTAGTCAAAATTTATGTTTCCATGCGAGCCAGAAAACTAAACTTGAGAACAAGAGGGATAATTATTTTTTGTAAACTAAATAAATATGGGTATTCGTATTTCTTACGTAAATGTGTAATGTTTTTTTTATGTAAAATTAAAATGCGTTTAAAAGTTATTAGTGTATGTTTGTAATGCTTAATTTATTTTTTAGTGTGGAAGGGAAAGTTAGATGGCGAAATCAAGAAAGAAAATGGCTTTCTAAACATATCTTTTGTTGTCGAAGAAGTAATTAAAGAAGGTGGGTATTAAAGTAATGAAAAACTTTATATCATTAACGTATCGTATTTTTATAGAAGAATTTTAAATTTGTATACTGTTTTCTTCCATGGTACCTATTTTTTGTTTACTTTACTTATAGGGATTGAAAAAGCTGAGTTGATTGAAGGAGACATTCGATCTTTCTTATCTAGGGATGTGTGTGATTCTGCTAAACTTTTCCCTCAACAGACGTATTTAATAATGGGAATGGATGGGCAGAAATATAAAAATGAACATGGACAAATCTGGTTCGAAAGATTTATTTTTATTTCTCAGCATAACCATATTTTAAATATATAATCATATTTTTATTGTAATAACACAAAATAACGTAGTCAAAAAGAAAACTTAGAACAAGCATACAAAAGGAATAAAAAATCACATATGAACATGGAAAGGCCAATGCTTTCCGGAACCGCTAGAGGACGCTTGTGGTGTCAACGTATCGCGTTTTGATAGGCGTGTTTGAGACCTGCTTGACTCTCCTGTAAAAGCAATGCTTAAAATTGTGTTCACATACGTAGAAATAGAGCATAAGTAAAATGATCTTTACTGATTTTTGTTTAGTATTCTTCTATTTTAGATAATTTGTCAACCTCTCAAGCTTCTTCAAATAACGTTTGTAAACCCATATTCCTAAGAGGTTCTTTTTTTAAATCCTTTTTGCTGAAAACTGAGCAACTGAGATTCTATAAACTTTTCTTGTAACATAACTGCATTAAACATAGCATACAACAGTTTTGACAGTACACTTCTATTTTGAACACGTTATTTTTAATCATCCGAAATCTAAATCTAATAATGCTCATTAATTAATTAATTATGTCTATTATTTATTTTTAATTTGTTTAATTATAGTCATTCTTACATCACCAACTGTTTAATTATGCTCATTCTTGATTCTCTACTTGCTAAATTATGCAATATTTTTTTAATAATATATTGCTTTTCATAATATATTGCTTTTTTATAATATATTGTTTATTATAATTTATTTTTATAATTTTTTTTAAATATTTTTTTATAACATTAACTATTTATAAAATTAAAAAAAAGCAAATTTTTAATTTTGAACCATCCTTTTCGTAAAACTTTATATTTTTAATAAATTTCCAGACAATAGGTAACTTAACGGCAAACGTATCTTCATTTTTGAACTTAGTAGAAATATTAATATGCCAAGCTTGTTTCCTTGAAGCTTGAAAAAGGCAAGCAAAAAAATTTACAAAAGATGTCATATTTTAGCCTCAACTGTAAACCTTGATTTTGCCTTGTTTTTCATTCTAGCTTTAAGTAGTGCAACATTTTGCTTGAATTGAAAACTTATTAAATACAAGATAAATTCATCTTTAATCACCAATCAGAGATAAATTCACCTTTAAGGTGTAACAGAAAGTATGCAAAAGCCTGCGAAAATAAGCCTTGTTTCAATGATAATCATAAAATCTAAAATAAATCTTGAGAAGGTTAATTTATTTTCGGTTTGAGAACACTTTCTACTCTTAATATGTGAATGATTATTTCTCCACGATTTCAGTTTTTTCTAGCCTTGTTTAGTAAAGGCTGATTCAACATCGATATAAACGGGTTGTTTAAGTAAGCCTAATGCGAACCTAATGGTGCGTAAACTAGCATAGTTAAATTTAACATTATCTCAAGCTTGCATGGCTTATTTAGTTATCTATATTATATAAAACGCTAATACGTATGTATGTATGTATGTATATATGTATCAATAAAACCGATGATATTTCTTTTCTCGCGCTGGCAACAGTTTTCATTTTTAATTGATTGGATTCGGCGCGCAAGAGCACGTAGTGAGCAACCAGATAACAATAACCAGAGTGAGCATTATCAGGTTGTTCAATTCAGATTCATGCACTAAAAACATGACAATATTTAATTTAAACTCAATTAGGAATTAATTAATTAATTGAAGTGAGAATGCTTTAAAAGGCCGCTGTTGAATTGATATTTTTCTACTGGGAGCTACCTAAACGTCTAAAAAACGTTTAAGTGTTTGTATTGAATGCATTGAATTTTTTTATATTTCGCGTTTATTTATGCATTGAATTTTCACGCTTTAAAATGCAGAATATTAGTGAAGCAATATTTGATAATTTATTTTGCTAATATGTTTCTTATTTAGCTAATGTTTTGATTTTTTCACCATGTACAATCTAAATAGCTAATATACTTTTTTAAAAGCCAATAAGAACATTGGTAGAATTCTTCTACATACTTGATTCAATCACGAGGTACTGATAAAATACTATGTCTTTGATGATAATATATTATGTCTTTGTGCTAGAACATTGTGTTCACTGGCGAGCGATAGCAGCGAGCCATGGTTCACGGCGTGAACCACATAGGATTGCGTAGCAATTCTCGGGGGTTGGCGAGCGTTAGCGAGCAGGGGGCGGAGCCTCCTAGTCATTTATAAACCTTGTTGAGCTTTACGATAAAAGCTGTTGTTGACATTGAAATCAATCTTACACTGCTATTTGGGTTTTATTTACATTGGGTCTATTGTAAATCTTATTTCAGAAAGTTAAATTTTACACTGTGATTTAAAATTAGCCTAGATTTTTTTAGTTCCCTGTAAAGTATATTAAGAAATATTATTTTCTTCTTGTGCAGGCATAGGTACTTATTGGACAAGAAAAGTGCCATTCATTTGTGGACATTAATTAAAGAAGCCAAAGATAAGCCTTTGCAGCGCGCGTTGAACCATGTTGTGAGGAAATTAAAATCCGAAGGATGTGCTCAGTGAATTTTTTACAGTTTTGTGCTACTTTTAATCCATTTTTGTAAACATGTTCTTTTAAGAAATAAATGTTATCTAAAACTTTTATCTGCTCAGTCTTTGACATTCTGTAGTACAGTTGAATTCAATACAGTACAGGAAACAATATAGGAGATTAAAATTTTTACCACTTAAATATTTACTAAACTGCTGAGCACAAGATTGAATTAGAATCACACGTTGTTTCTGACTGTCAAAAGGAAATCACATATGTGAAATAATTTTCCATCAGAAAAGAAATTTCTTGTTGTTGCAAGTTCTCCTTTGCCAGTGTAATTAACGTATAAACGACAAAGGTGAATTTGCTATGTTTATATGTTAACATGCTAAAAGTCAATATATTCCTTTTTCTAAAATTTATTTTCACAATTCGCTTGCTAACGATGGTTTGACTTATTGCATTGTGGTGTAACTACCACTACGATTATTAAACCACAATTAACTAGTATCTAAAACATGCTAACTCGATTCTATATTGAGGTACCATTGGATAGATGAAGGATGGCATTGGTGACCCGGACGTGATATGAACACGCCTAATTCGATGGATGGTACACAATGATAAGTTTACTTGTTGTTAGTGACTGCTTTATCTTCCTCCTCACATTGTTGCATCTCATTTACACACAACCGGAATTCTGCACACACTCGACTGCTAATAACAACGCAGGAGAGGGCACACGCACAACCGTGAACTTAATACAGCTCTCACGACAAACGCTCAAAAGCGTGGTGAGCTTAATGCAGCTCTCACCACTACCTCTTAAAATCCTGTGAACTTAATACAACTCTCACCACAAGCATTAAAATCCGGTGAACTTATTACAGCTTTCCCTGTCTTTCGCAAAAACTGCATTAAATCAACTAGTGGTATGCGTTCATTGAATTCAATCCCAGAGGAAATTCTGGTGGGGAAGTATTGTAGCGTAACTCCCACTATGATTATTAAAAATCAATTCACTAAGACTTGATCGCTCGACTCGATTCTATTTTGTGGTACCCTTTGACAGATGAAGATTGGCATTATCGATTACAACTCTCTCTACAGTACCAAACAAACTTGAGAAAAAAAAAATCGAAATTTACAATTACATAATTCACGTTATGGTACACATCAAAAATCATTAATTGCCCTTTACAGCACTCTAAAACTAATTAAATACAAAAAAAAACTGAAATAATATAAGAAAATAGATTCAATATAAAGATTAAAATGCTGAGATCAAATAAATAAATGAATAAGGAAAACAGATAAAGTGAACGCTAACAATATGTTATATTTAAAATTTATTATCTCAAAATTATAAAATTTTAAATAAAGCCAATTCTAAGAGAGCAAAAAGTGTTATACTATCAGTGAATGAACGCATACATGTAAATTTAAAATTTCAGCATTTAAATTCAAAAATTTTTGTGTCAGACACTTTCAGTTTGTTCAATTTGAATAGCACGCATTTTCAGGTAAGATCAGGTTTTCAGGTAAAAGGGTTCTATCCCATGATCCAATTACCCCTAATGATATTTTGCGTCAGCACTGCGGTCAGTGCGAGCCGGTTGCTGAATTCATATTGAGAATCCATGACTGGGATTTGAACCCGGTGCACCTCATTAGAAGGCGAACGCTCTATCCCCTTATCCACCACGACTGAAATTGAACAAATTGTTGAATTGTCAGGGGGAATAAAACTCTATTTTTTAAATGTTATTTAGGAAAACAGGATCTTAGATATTCTTTCCTTTTAAGCCATCACCATACGACGCCTTTTTAAATAGAACTGGTATCAAATGGCGCCAATGTAAGATAACAAAAGAGTTACATTTTATTTTTTTAAACGTTGTCAAAATAAACAGAAAATAGCAACAACATTAGTATGCTTATTTTCACTACCTGTCTATATATTTATAGATAAAGAGTGAATATCTCATCGCAGTTGTGATATTATAATCTACATGTGAAGTGGTAAATGCAAAGTACTAAATTTGTCTTCATCAAGGAGTAAAAGTAGGAAAATGATTTTATTTTTTTATTCTTATGATGCATACAGTGCGCAAAATAAAAGTGAACATTCTGAATAACTTTTTCTCTAATTATCGAATTTTCCCGTTCTAGGACTCAATCTTAATGGTTCGGGGGGCCAAACCTGAAATATTATAGTTAATTTGGGCAAGCGATATATAAGGTTACGAAATTAGACACAAAACGTACTACCTCTGAATAAAAATACCTTTTTTTCGATGGATAACGATTCTTGACTAGATAGAGGCACTCTGGAAAATGTGTTTCAAATATTAGGGGGACCGGAAAGTAATGTCGTTTTGGTGCATTTGATAATTGTTGTCAAGATTTTATTTTTAATCAATAAGATATTCACCCTCCTTAGAAACAACCACTCAATGCCGGATCGAAAATGAATCGAAATGGATCGAAAAAAATGTATTGAGTTGAAATGAACTAACGAATATTTAATGCTCCGAAACGGCATTACTTTCCGGTCCCTCTAATAATTTAGATAGTAGAGCGGTTCTAAGTTTGGTCCCCTTGTTGTGAAATTTATTTTTTGATCATTTCTCCATATCTCAGGAAATAAAGAAGTGAAACTACTATTGATTATTTTCAGAATGTATATGTAACTTCAAGTGAATATTATATTCATTTTCGCTGTTATTTATTATATGAAATCTATATTTGTGAGGCATGGATTACCAGAAATATTGGTTAATGATGGAGTCCTCAGTTTGATTAATTTACTAATAAAGATTTTTTTAATGGATGTATCATTTCGTCACATTTCAGTCAACATAATGGTGAAGTAACAAACTTTAAAAAGAAATTTAATTAGACATGCTAGAGAAAGCAAAGATGTAGATCTTGTTCTTTTAGACTACAAAATATCTCCCTCTCCGTCTAAATTATAATGGGTAGATAATTAAAATCAACTCTCTCATGTTTGTCTGAATAATTAAAACCAAAATTAACAATTAAGGAAACTATTAAAATTCTAAAGGGTAACACAAAACAAATATTTTGAGAGGAATTCTAATTTAAAATCTTAAAAAGTAAATTCGCATGTTTATTACCGAAAAGTACCTTAATAACCCTGGATTAAGGGTAAAATAGTTAAAGATGGTCCTCAATCTAGAATATACACACTGCGGTCTGAAATTGGCAGATTTTATAGAAGCAATAGAATTTTTATTAGAGAAGATAAATCAAATAAAAAATTTGGAGTTTATTTGAACTTTTAAAAAATTTTGGACAGCAAAATGCTCTTCAGATTAAGACACTGTATTACTTGCCCAACCCGACTGTATTACTTGCCAAAAAATGCCCACCGCGGAATAAATTTTGATCTAATTATTGGATTTTCTGTTGCTAAGACACAAACTTAATGGCTCAAAGGACTGACCTCAAATATCACTCATATCTAAGTATATATAACCATGAAAAAATCTATAGAATGAAAAAGTAAAACAAACAAGAAAAAAAAACATTGCTTCAAAGCTTTAGTTGGAATTGCATAAAATAATTGAGTAACATTTACGAAAATCAACCATCAGATGCCGTTTGTTTTGTTATCATGCAAAATTTGACACGCTTGTAGAAATGAAAAACTTTCGCTACCGACTCAACAAGCAACCAATTGGGTACTTACACTTCAAGAAGAAGAAGAAGATCTCGGATACCTCCACACGTGAACTATGACGTCAGCACCAGCTGATAGTTAAAAGCAAAATGGCCGTTTAAAGTTGAGCTAAGTTTCACCACATAAGTTAGAATGTTAATTAACGCGAAATTAATTAAAAAACAGTGCAGTGTCACACCTCAAATTTATTGAAATATAATTCTTTCTCATCTACGTCCTTTACTTTGCTTAGATTTATTATTTTTTTTATGTATTTTATTCTAACCGTAACATATTTTTGTTTTGTGTACCTGGCAATTCGATGCATAATTAGTTTTTTTATGTTCTACATGACTTTATGTCTGTCTGTGTTAAATAAGAAATGTATGGAGAAAGAATTGAAATCTTTGTGAAAGAATATATATTATGTCACTTAAGAGAATTGATACTTGCGGGCTTGGCATGCTCGAAATAGAGTGGGAAGAACAGTTGCTAACGTAAAAAAATACCACGCATCAACAACTAATCTGGATCAAAATACCCACACAACGTCACTCTCAGGTATCCCATTAATGTGGAGCAGAATTGATTTTATTTTAAGAAAAATAAATTTTCTTGCATCTCTAAATATTTAACTGTGCCTCCTCATTCAATTTCTATGGAATGGATTTTTCATTAATTACTCCGCTATACAGCTGACGCATTATTAAAGCCGTAGCAACACCAGCTTGGAAGAAAAGTTTTAAAAAAAATTTCCCTTTTTTTCCATCTTCAAGTTTTTCCCGTATTTGAACTGTGTTGATTAATGTAAAATATATCAACCGTGCAACTCGAATAGTGTTTAAGGATATTCTTTATAACAGAGCCTTATGTATAATGATTAGGGAAAAAAAATAACCACTTCTTTTTATATTACTCGAAAAGGTTACTTTAGTTTAAAGTAATATACGCTTGGTGGCTCAGTGGTAGCGGTCCGTACACTCATGCCTCGGGCCGGGCAAGGTTGACTCAGCCATTCATCCCTTCAGTGAGTCGATAAATGAGTACCAAGCATACTTGGCAGCTAAACACCGGGGGTTCCGCGTTTGGCTGACTACTAACCGGAACATTTGCTCCTGCACCCCAGGTCAGAAAAACTGAGATGGGTACAGTCAACACCTCCTAGATAAGAGCAGGCGTCAGCACGGATTACCATAAATATCCTTTAGTAGTCCAAACGTAATGACTTATTTCGTATTTTCAACCACTGCGCAGCTTAGTACCCTTAACGAAATGACATCTTTCTTATTTTTCATCTACTGCGCAGTTATCTTCGTTCGATCGGACAACTAAATTGATCCGTGTTGAGGTCTTCCTTCTTCTAGGAGGTGTTGGTACAGTAAGCCTTGGCCCTCTATGGGCTGTTGCGCCACTGAGATTAGTTTAGTTTAAAGTGATTTCCTTTAATTTTTTAATGTTTAAATCAATGAATTTATTTAAAAAAAATCAATTCTTGTATTTTCAATCAAATTTCCGTTAAGAAGAGCGAATACGACTTAAACATGTTACAGTCTACTTGTTTTGTCAATGAAGTTGAATTTAAAAGGAGCAGAACTTTAATGAAGATACAAAAATTTTATTTATAATTTATTTACATCGGAATTGTAAAAAAGCAATCATAAAAAACATACTAAAATTGAAAATAAAACATATAAATATATCACACAAATGTTTCAAACTAAAACAAGTTTACAAGTTTCCTCATTTTAATGTTTAAAAAATATATAGTGGTATTAAATACATTCAATTACTGGAATTAATTTTCCGTTTTATAAATTTTGCAGCTTTTAGAATTATAAAAGAGATTAAAAAATAATTTAAACAGTTCTTAAAACTTATAATCAATAGATAAAAAGTTTCATAGTTTCATTAATGGAAATTAACATTCTATAATCTTAGATCAGAAATAAAGAGATCAAATTATTCGTTCCGTTACAAAGAAAAGAGAGAAAAAATATTGAAAATAATACTGTTCATAACATAAATAGTATGCGAATTTTTTTAATAACTAATAGGTGTGTAACAAAAAATAGAAAAGTCCATATTTAATTTTTATTATAAAATATAAAAAAATTATTTTTTTTAAATTAAATGTATTTTAACAATTTCAAACAGCGTTGGTACAAAACAATTAATAAGATTGTTGATAACAAAAGCTGCCTAAATAGACAGTTACAGAGGTAGATTTGGTATACATAAAATAAAGGCAAACTATACAGATACTGCTGGAACAGCATTGTTTTCCTTCAAGTAGTTAACTAGCGAAGGTATCTTTTTCTGGATAGCATAATCTAAGGCTGTCTGAAACAAAAATTAGCAATAAAAAAATTAGCATAAAAATTAGCAATAAACACACATGCACATTTACGATATATTTTACTAAATTTTGATTACACACGATGTTTGAAGTAACATGATTCAGAAAAGTATGGAATGTAAATAATTAGGCATACATTAAGACATGATAATTAGGCATAAAATTAAATAGGCATACATATTTTTTTCTGTTTATTTACAATACTTTTCCAATGCGTTTTGGATTTTCCTTTTCTAAAAAGAAGGAGATTCCATTTTGTTTTTACTTGCACAAAAAAGAATATCAAGCATTTTTCTTTTTTAAATTTTATAAGCCACGATAAAGAAGGAATGTTACGATGCTACCCTGAAGACATCGCCAGTCCAACTGATGATCATGTTGTTCTACAATCAGTCTTTCGTCTCAAATAACAACGCCCCCTATTGGTCGTTATGTTCGCGAGTAAAAAAACGGAATTAGCAGTTGGATAAATGTGCAGAAAATTATTTCTAGTGTGTTCTTAATTTTGCCGATAAATAGAAGCATGATTTGTGTTTAGATGTTATTAAGATTATGAAATAGAATACAACACACATAACTAAGTATATGAATTCCAATTGTGGACGAAAGCTACCGACAATGTCACCTATCATCCATTTAAAGGTACCACTAAATAGAATCGAGTTAACACGTCTTATATACTAGTGAATTGAAATTGTGTTATTGTAACGGTAGTTACACTGCATTACTCACCCACCAGAACTTTATCTGGGATATAATTCGATGAATGAATATCACTAGTTGATTCATTGCCGTTTTGGGAAAAACCGGGAGCGCTGTACCGGTTCTTCGGTTTTTGAGCGCCGATGGTGAGAGCTAAATTAAGTTCACCGGACGCGGAGCGCTGGTCATGAGAACTGTATTAAGTTCACGTGGTCTCTCCTATATTGCTATTGACAGTCGAGTGTGTACAAGCTCCAGTGTTGTGTGATCGAGACTGAGTAGCATCAATGCAAGGACAGTGGTACAGTCATCAATAGCTAGACAAAAGTTCGATGTGTACCATACATCGAAGTAGGTGAATTCTGATCAGCAATGCGGGCGTAAACAACCAGCAATGTCAACCGTCATCTATCTACTCGTACCTTAAGACAGAATGGAGAGTTAACGCGTCTTATATACTAGTAAATTGTAATTGTATTATTGTAGTGGTAGTTACACAACGCAGTTTTTGATGAAAGTACAACAGGTTTAAGATTTCTTTTTATTCTACTTGCTGAGTTTCTAAAGCTGTAACTCCCAAGCCAATATTATTTTCTGAGGTCATTTGATGATATTAAATAAAGAAATTCAAATGAAATCCTTTGAAATTATTTTTTACTGATTTCTACCTTTTTTTTCTTTTGATTTTGTGATACCAGCATTTCTGCATCCTTATAGTGTGTGATGTTGTGCATCACAATCAACATCGTTTTAAATTAGTTTACATATACTCACTAATTTCTTTATGCATTTTTAATATTTTAAATTCATTTTATTTTAATGCTTCAAATTTCTTCTGGCTTATAAACTAGTTTGAATTTAATAACCCACACGCCTTGTTTTTTCTATGCAGATTTTGCCTATTACATCCGGCATTAATTTTGTTTCATGTTCAACATTTCTTTTATATAACATTGCTTCTTTATGATAAACTATTCTGAACTTTATCACACGTGTATCTGCTATTTCTTCTTATAATTATCGATTTTAAAACTGTTTTAAATTAATTTGCGTGCAAATTTCGTCTCGTGACTTATTACGAGATTTTAAGGCACACGATTCTTCCTCAATTTGGTTTGCACCCAATACTTGTTAATAACATAGTTTTAAATTTATTTTCTCCCAAATTTCTTCTGGATCACGGGATGTATTTACTTTTATATGGTGCACATTTCTCTATAATTTTCCACACAATAAAAGTTATTTGATTTTTTTTAATCTGTTTCCAAACTTTTTCTGGTTAATGAGCGATAGCGGTAAATGAGCCTTGCTCGATAATTTTGTTCAAAAAATACAAGTTATTAGATTATTATCAGTTATTAAAGAACTATCAGATAAGATAAAACTGTAAAAAGATTCAATATGGTGCATTTTATCGCTTTTAATCGCTTACTTTTTAAACGCTTAAATATTAATTTGCGAACCCCAACGTATTCGCTTTAGATTTTATATTTGATAAAAGATCTGAAACTGCATATTAAGGGGGTGATTGCAAAACACTTCGCATACTTTTACATCATTTAAAAAATGAAATCATAGATAAGCAACGTAACTCTTTTTAATTAAGTCAAGAAGAATGCTCCAATGATTGAATCAGATGCAATTTTTAACACTCTAATGATAAATCAGATGCTCCATGAATGAATCAGATGCAATTTTTAACACTCCAATGAAAAACACTCTTATGACAGAGTAAATACTTACTTTTTTATTGGCATCTCTGCAATTGATATCAAAGAAAGTCTGATCATAACGTTTTAGAGTTTCAACAAGGCATAACACTTTTTCTACATTTGATTCAATTACAGCAGAGTGGAGGTTCCTATTTTTCAAAAGAAAATTCCCATGAAATAAGCAAAATAAATTAAAGACTTACAAGAATTACTTAGTAAAAAAATTAAAAAGTGTTTTGCTCACTAATTTATATAGACATTAAAAATAGTTTAATAGTACTAGCCAGGTTCTTCTTTCAAATTAATTCAATTCAAATTTCATGCTAATTGTCCACTTTTTTGGTTCAGATATCTCACAGTTTAATAGTTTTCATAATTTGTATAGATCTCCTATAGATTATATGACCAAATTTTTTTGATTGGTACTATTTTGATAGTATAGGGTTAAAACGCAAGTTTAAAGCGACGTAGTAGACAAGTTTTAGAAATGTAAAGTAAGGTAGACTTGGTGCAAATGTTAGATAATTAATTATGATGGAGTAAAGTGTTTGTTTGCTACATCTACGATGGCGCTTTCTAAGTTTAGAGTGTTTTAAAAAGTTTCAAGCTTCGAATAAAGTACAGCAACTTAAATGAAGTATAATTTTACAGAAACGGGCATGATATAGTTTAGTTCTATTAAACAAGCACCACCCTCAATGTGATAACACAAAATGACACAAAAAAATAACGAGACAGACATGTTGAATTAAAATTTAAAAAAAAATGGCTTTACCGATAGGAAGGAAGAACAAGCTCGAGCAAAAAAAAATAAGAAAAAAGGTTTTGTTGGGTGAGATTTCCGTAAGTATAAGATGCAGAAATGAAATTAGAATAGATTTTCAAGCATTTTGAAAATGTACTAAAAAGATCATTATCTAAGTTGTTAAAATTTTCAAAATATGGAAAAATTCTCAAAAACCAAGGTTATTAGAAAAAGAAAATGTTGAATGATTGTTCCAGAAGGCCTTACACAACACAGAGCATAAAATATACTCCTCTTTATTTCGTTTATGTATAAAAGTTTCGAGTTTTAATCAAATTTTCTCTTTTAAATTCATTAAACTACTTTGTCTAAACTAATCTTTAAGTTAAATATTTTTAATATTCGAATATTTGCATTAAGTTTGACACCTATCAATATCTTTTTAAGACTTCTGTGTTTTAAACCACAGCGCAACACGGTTATACTAGCAAACTATCAGCAGTTTTGTTGCATACTACTTATTATAAAATGTAACAACAAAAAATTCACTCATAATTGAAATGTTGAACCTTTAGTGCAATAAAATGTGTAACACACAGTAGGAAAAATTTCAGTTCAGGATTATTAAAAAGTGGATGTTACACAAAAAATAACGCATTTTCATCGTTGAACATTATTTACAACAATTCTTATGTCTAGTTGCATATTTTTCTGTTTTATTCATCTGAAATGGTCGCTCTGATCAAGAAATTTAACGATTGCTGTTGATATAAATAGAAAGACGTATCGAATCATAGGCTATTCCATTTACTACCATTAAGTCTCTACTTTATGAAAAAATAAAAAATAACACGAAATTAACGAAAGCTTATATAATTACTGATTTTTTTCTGCTACACTGTTTTATTGATTGAAAATAAAATGTTGCTTTTGTTGTTTCGAATGACACATTGGATAAGCCTAGTTCGCTAGCCGTTGGCTTTTCTTGAATTAAGACAGGAAGGTGCGCCTTTCATTGGAAAAGAGAGCACCGCAAGGGTGAAAGTACTTCTTAGCTCAGAATTCTACGGATAGATGGCGACACCACTCATTCGTGAGGCCACTTCTTCAATTTAGTCATAGATATGAAGGGGAAGGAAATTTTCTCCTGATCTCTGTACCCATGGTACTGCTCAACGACCGACCATTAGACTTTTGATTCAACAGATTTTAAGAGAAAGTATATCGCATGTACTCGGTGGGTCTTTTGTAGAGTCGAGGATCAGATTCCAGCCCCTCAGGAGCGGAATACGATTCTCTAAACTCTGGGCTAACCACAACCCAAGGAAATTTAATATTTTATGTAAGTTATTTCACTTACGTTTGGTCCAGGTTCTTGTAATTTTCTCTCTCATCATAATCAATTATTCTAATCTTTTTCTTACTTTTCTCTTGATGTTTGATTTTTAACAGTACATTTTTAATTTCATCTAGATACTTTGTAACATCAAAACTTTCAGAGTTTCGAAGAACCATTTTAGCATTGTCCCTAAAATAAAACCAAACCTGTGAGCATAATAATAATGATTATGTTTGTAATCCTATTTTGAGGATAGTGAAAAAGATGAAAAAAGGTAAAGATATTTAATCTTCTGATTTTAAATATTATTATTTTTACTAAATATTTGATGACACACCTCTTGGTATCCTCACCTCCCCTTTGTCACAAAATATCATAATTTGAAGAACTCTCTTCCTTGCCACCAAGCTTGACGTCATTTGCTTGAAGTCCACTCTCTTATTGAGGAAAGTTAAACATGATCATAAATATGTAACTTATACGATTGAAAAAAATTGTGGTTCGTTTGACTAAGACTTCATTAATTGAAATAAAATTTAAACAACCTCTTATTAAACTACTGAAAACTTTACAATAAGTTGTAATTTCAACGCAGATGTAAATAATGTTTCGAAATGCATGTCACAAATTGTCATAGTTTAAAGAACTCCCTTCCCAACCGCCAAAAGCATGACGTCATGTGTCATTAAGCCCAAATCTACTCTTTTAATGAGGAAAGTTATGTATGATCATTGCAAATGTTACATGAAAATATGTAACTTAAACGATTAAAATAATTAGTAGTCTTTTTGACTAAGATTTTTTTAATTACAATAAAATTTAAACTACCACTTATCCAACTATAGAAAACTCTACATTAGGTTGTAATTTCAACACAGATGTAAATAATATACTTCGAAATGTATGAAGAATATAATAATTAGCCATTACGTATTTGCATATTTGAAGACCTGAATGGATGAAAATTTCAAGTGATAGCTTAGTGATATACAGCTAATTTTAATCTAGATTGGTGAAATCTATAAATCACCAACACTCGTTTAAATTGTTCGCGGCATAGCGTTCATGCTTATACACTGTGTACTTAAAAAGCATATTACCACAGGCAATAATAAAAGACACTATTAAAGTAAAGCATTCGCATTCCAACTACAGCACTACAGAGGGGTCCTGGAGGATAAGGCTCCACAATATCGTGACCAACGGCATGGTTGAGGCAATGTGCTCAGCCATGTGCACAGGTCACTTTTACGTCACCCACAAGCTGGTGCCCATCAATTTGAGGCTGGATGGGCTTCAAACCGCCACTGGGGAGCGAACCCCAGCTCTTCACAATTACAGATCAGGGCCTTAATCACTATGTCATGGTGGCTCAAAAGACATTAGAATTAATCAATTTAGACAAATTTATATTTGGGATATTTATTTTAATATTATAAATTTTATTGCCGCAAATAATGGTAAATGGAAAAAAATCACATGGTTTATTAAAATTTAAAAAAAAAAAAAAAAATACAAGCATTACTGAAACTAAGTTTAAGTTCCAAAACTTACTTTATTTGGAAGCTTATTTTCTGTTCACCACTGGTCACCTGTCTATCAACTCTGCAGCATTGCACATGAACTTTGCTTGCAATATGTGTAGAGTTTTTCGAACTGGATATAGTTGTTCTACTTCTATTCGCATTGCATACTGAGTCATAAAGATCATTTAAATTATCCTTCCACCACTCATCAGAAACTTCATCGGGCTCTTGAGATAAGTCAGAGATTATAAGGTGGCTGAGCACTTCTTCCAATGAAGTTTTCTCATTTTGAAGATTTTTAGCTGTATTAGTCTTCTCTGAGTCTATAGGATCATAATTTTTCTCAGCAAGCTGCTCAATATCGTCACGATTTGAATCAGGAATGAGAGAATTTTGCTGTAACTCTCTTCTTTCTTTGAAGTATTCTTCTGCCTCAATAAATGAATTAACAAGTTTACAAATATCTCGTTCCTTATCATCACTTTCATTACCAAAAGGTAATACAGAATCCAAAGTGGATGCTGATGAGGAATCAACATGTGGTGATGAGGAAGCAATGGGTGGTAACGAGGAAACAATAGATTGTAAAACTGCATCCACAGATGGGAAAGAAGTTGGTGCTGGTAGGGAAACAGCATGTGACGATTGGAAGCCATTAGGTGTTAACGGGGAAATGTAATGTGATGATGAGGGAAAAATAGGTTGTGATGGGGATCCAATATCCGATGGTAGGGAAGAAATATCTGCTGATGGGGAAAAAACATCTACTGATGGTGAAGCAGTAGGTATTGATAGGAAACCAGCATGTGATGCTGATGCTGGGGAAGCTGTCGGCGTTAGCGGGAAAGTATATTGTGATGATGTAATATGTGCTGATAGGGAAGCAGCACGTGATGCTGATGCTGGGGAAGCTGCAGGCGTTAGCGGGAAAGTATATTGTGATGATGTAATATGTGTTGATAGGAAAGCAGCATGTGATGCTGATGCTGGGGAAGCTGTCGGCGTTAGCGGGAAAGTATATTGTGATGATGTAATATGCGTTGATAAGGAGGCAGCATGTGATGCTGATGCTGGGGAAGCTGTAGGTGTTAGCGGGAAACTATATTGTGATGATGTAATATGTGTTGATGGGGAAACCACAGGAGGTGATGGGGAACCAAATCCTGAATCAGGACTATTGACATACAAAATTTCAAGGGGATTGAAACCTGATTCAATTTGCTGAGCACTGAGGGAAAATTTAGGAGACAATCTTGTTTGGGTCTGCTGGGAAGTTCTGTAGTTATTTCTCAAAATTGGAACAGAATTGCTAGGATGGCATAATTTTGGCCTACCAAATGCAACAGAGTGAACAGGAATTATAGGTTTGTAAAATGTTTCTTTGTGTTTCTTTGTCTTATTTTTTTCTGGTCCTCCCCTTTCTATTAAAGTGTCGTCATCATCATCATCCGATGACGAAGAATCCGTTGAGAATTCTAATTCAATGAAATTATCTTCATCGTCGATTTCCTTTTTAATAACGTCCTCATAAACACTTTCTTCATTTGATAAAGAATAATCCGTAAATGGTTCTAACTTGATAGAATGATCTTCATCTTCTGTTTCCTTTTTATTGAAGTCATCGACAAATCTTTCATCATTCAATGAACAAGAATCCATTAATGTTACCAATTTGGAGAATTGATTCTCCTCTTCAACTTCATTTTCGATGCACGCTGAGAGAAAATTATTTTCAGTCAGTGATACTTGAGTTGAAACTTTTTTAGAAAAAATACTTTCACCGTCTTCAATGCTTGCATTTTTATTTAAATCATTTTCAATGTTTTTATGAAAGTCAAAATTTTGTAGGTTATTTTTATATGAGATACTTTCTTTATCGCAATTTCCATTATCAGTTTCTACGAAATTATTGTTTTCAGATTTATATTCTAAATTTTGCGATGCATCTGGATCAGAATTGGAATTTATGCTTAATTCCTGAATTATTTCGGTTAACTTGTCTAGATCCAAGTCAGAATCTTTATTCATTTTGCTTTAAAAATACGCTTAATTAAACCTAAAAAGGAATAAAAATATGTCACTATAAAAAGAATTTAACAAAAGCAATTAAATACAAAAAATAAAATCATGTTCAAACAAAATCAGATGATGTATTTTATCATAAAAATTATAACTATTGTCATGACAGCTCATTGTGGGCTAGAGCCTTCCCTAGAACCTTCCTCCATTCTTTATTTACATGAAGTGGTGCTCAAAATCATTTTACATTAAATTGAAATAAATCAAAGAAATAAATATCAAGAATAAATTTTATTACCATTTTTAAGCATGAAAATAGCATTTTACGCAAATTGCGTAGAAGTGGGCAGTTACTCATTCATTTAGCTGATGAGCAGTATATCATGACATCTCTCACAGAAATTTAAGGTATTTTTTGAGGTTTATTTGAGGTTGTTTTGAGGCGTCAAGTTTGATTTAATGTTTATTCGAAGTTGATTTCAATAACAACCTTAAAAGATCAACTTTCTAAGGTGTATAATCAAGGTATAGGAAGTTGTTTTATTCAATAGAATTGCTTTGAGAAATTGTTTTGAGGTTGAAATGGTTTTGAGGTTGATGGAAATCTACTTTAGAGCAATCCAGTTTTGGGAGGTTGCTTTGAAGTAAATGGATTATTTTTTCTACACTTCAATCAAATACGTATATTTGAGGTATGAATAATTTCACCCGATCTAAACTAAAATTATTTCTGAGTTACAGATGAGGTTGATTTTATGAGGTGTAAATGAGGTTGAAATTGAAGTTTCTTAATGAGGTTATTTCTGTTGCAAAACATAACCTCTTTTCCTACCTCAGGTGTATTTTTTACATCTGGCAATCTCAAAACAACCTCAAAAATACCTTATTATTTTTGTAAGGGATGATATTAAGTTGAATTACATGTTGTTTCTGTCTATTAGAAACTTGCAAATACATTCACGGAAAATATGTGATAGTTTTCTTCAGTAAAGTAATTTTTCCTTGATGCGAGTTTAGTTTTGTGCATGCGTTATTCATATAAAAAACAACTGAATATTTTATTCACTTAGTTTAATTTACTAAAAGACAGTATACTCAGTGCTAAATTTTACTTTCTAATTTAATGTGTGTTTTATTTCCTTAATTTTTTACATATTTTTTTCTCTTTTACAAAATGGCTGTTATTAAAGTTTGATCCATCGTATAAAATCGAGGATTTTGACAGATGTTCCTCTCTGAAAGGAAATCGAGAAAATTACAACATGAAGTGAAATAAAGTTTCTCAAAATATTAATAAAACTACGAAACAAATAAAAATGATAATTTCAGAATTGTCTTCATTTTGATCAATTTACTGAATCAAACTAAATTCATTCATTCATAATAATTGAAATTTATTATTTTTCATGAGTTAAATTAGATGGTACTGCAAACAAAATTGTAGCCTGAACCAATTCTTTAGACATTTAATTATTGCTAAATATATTTTATTCCGTTTTTAATTGCTGTTGGTCAAACTTTATCCCAAACCACTCTCAAGGGTAAAAGGTTTGACCCAGTTTTTCTAACTTTGATAAGTAACTCTGGGAAACAAATTTTTTGTTTCATTTGCACAAATACTTTATCTTGTCTAATTCGGATGTGGAAATTTTAAATCTAGAATTAGTTTTGCATTCTGAAGCTACAGATGCTTTTTTTTCAATGATATTTTTACTCTATTTTTTGTCAAAATGTACAAGTTTAATAGTATTATAAATAAAAAAAGACAGCGTAAATATTGCAGGAAATTTTTAGGGGAGTTAGGACCCATCATCAGGAAAATTGCGTGGTAACTCATGCCTAAAAGTGTAGTTGGACTGTCCTTATTTTAGCCTGTTCAGAGAAAGTCGCAAAAATAGTTAATAATAGAGAAGCGCCCTTAGAATCCTACTATGGCCTTTTTTGGGCATAAGCTCTTATGAAATATTTATCCTAATGACGTGCCTTAACTTCCTTAGAAGTTTGTCGTAGCATTTATGCAAACCTTGCTTTATTTGGCGTTTTTAAATTTGTACATTTCGACAAAAAATAGTATAAAAAATTTAATTAAAAAAACTGTAGCTTGGAGAAAGAAACCAATTGCAAATTTGAAGTAAGAGATCTGAAGGGATCTAAGATTTGTTACAAAAATCTCATGCAAAAGAAAATTTTTCTCCCCAATGTAATTCATAAAAAAATGGTATTTCATAATTTTAGAAAAAATAATAATGAAAACAGACCTTAAACACTATAAACTATTAAGCAATGTTAATTAAAAAAAATTTACCACGTTTGAGGGAAAAAAATGAAAAATAATTTTTTATAAAAAAAAGAGTAAAAGCTCCCAAGCATCTCAATAATTGATAAATACTAAGTGAAGATATGAAAAACAAACAAAGTTTTGAAAATTATGATTAGAAAGAAATGATTAGAACAAATCTTACATCTACAGTGAGTTGCAACTACAATGGAAAAAATGATGCAATCGATTGTTCAATACGGATTTTAAATTGAAATTAGAAAAGCAGAATTATTGCACTATCAGTAGGGAATAAAATTATAAAAATAAAACTATTGCGAAATCACTAGAGACTGTTTAAACAATAACAATAATAAAGCTGCGAATTGATTATTAGAGATTTCCTATTGAAATTTTTAAAACAATGTGATCATGCTATCAGCAATGAATCACCATGGAAATATTGGAATGCAGTTAAAGTCTTTACTTAATCGATAGAAACCTTCAACAATAATGGCAAAAATGATGTAACAAAGTGCCACAAAAAGGGTTTCGGTTAAAAATCATAAATCAATGTGATTATCTGCAAGAAATTGCAAATGCTACGTTGAAGTTACCATTTGATCAATTGAAAACAACAATGACGAAAAGTTACTATTTGATCTCTATAGGTTTTTCATTAAAACTTTTAAAATAATGCGATCACGCTATCAGGATGGAATAATAGTTTTAATGTTAAAATGAAATTAGCCCTTAATCAAGAAAGAGTTTTATAACAATAAAAAAATAAAAGTTCACAATTAATCAATGAAAGATTTCAATTAAAGTTTTAAAAGCAATGCAATCATTCAGTGAATAACAATTAAAATATCTAAATAACTACTTGATCAATAAAAACTTTAAGTGACAATGGCAAGAGATGAAGTTACCAATTAACCAATAAAGGTTTTTAATTAAAAAATTTAACACAGTGTAACAATGAGTGTTTAAAACAATGTGATCACTCTATCAGAAAGGAATAACTATTATAAACAATGTACAAATTAAATTACTGCTTAATCAAATAATGGTATTACTAATTGATAAAAAATGTATCTTGATTATAATTTTTAAAAAAAGTTACTTGCTTGGATTATAAGAAAGTTTTAATTAAAAATAGTTATGAATTTTCCTCATGAAAACTATTATTTGCAACTAACTATAATTAATTCATAATAATTAAATTAATAATTATTTTTAAAAGTAGGGCTTGGTGATTCTATATTTTATATTAAGCATTTCTGAAATTAAGCATTGCTTACATCAATTTATTTTGCAGATATTTTTACTGGAGAGTTATGATATCTAAGCATTTAAAAATTATATATTAATTCTTCTAAAGAAATGCAGATTCTCCCATTGGTATTTAAACTTAAACGAGGAAAATTTTAAAGAGAAAATAATGTGATATTTTTTAATTTGGTGTTATTTAAAATAAAACTATTTACATAAATAGTAGAAAATTTAAAAATATTATTTAAAAAAAACTGAGACTAAAATAGGAAATCTTAATTTGGCTATATTTAAATGAAAAATCATTTGGAAACTATATTACTATCATTTGGAGAAAAAAAAAACATTTTAAAATCATTTTAAAAACTTCATTCATAAAGTAAAACTCCTTGAAATGATTCACTTTTTAGGTATATTTTTAATTTTATTTTATTTTGGAAATGAGAGAATGGTAGATGTAAAATATGTTACGTGATTTGATGTATTCAAATGGATTCTGCAAGTTTAGTTTTGGCAAGTTAACATTAAAACGGACAACAATTAATCTGCATTTCTAGTTGTAAATCATCAATATTTTTATTGAAACATTCTGTTCTATTTTTTTATTAAGAATGTTAATATGTTCCTAGAACGAAATGATGCAACACACTATAAAGTTTTTAAGAAATGATTTATAACTATTTTTATAAACAAAAAAGTGAATATAAAATTGGTTTTCTGAATTATATATTTCAATATTCTGCAATAACAAGTACACAATTGCAAACTTATTGTTTATTTTCTGCGAAGGTTGTTTTTCTTATTTTAATTGAACTGTTAGAATAAAATAGGAGGTCATAATTACGTAAAATAAACAAAAATTAAAAAATAATGATAATAGTTCAATTAGTTTCTGAAAATACATTTTAAGATACTGTATAAAAGATGTTTTCCTACCAAAAAATATACATATGTCATAAAACAACCATAAAGTAGACTGGGAGCACAGAAATTACTGTTTATATGAAAATAACCGTTATCTGTACTTTTTGTCAAATCTAATTTATTTGAAATTAACCATACATGTATATATTTCATTTCTCTAAAATGGCAAATATAAAATTGTAAACTTTTTGTTTATTTTATAAGTAGATTGTCATTTTTTTATTTTAATTAAACTATTAGAATAAAATCGGAGATCTTAATTATGTTGAATAAGCAAAAATCAAAAAATAACAATAACAGTTTTTTCGTTTTTAAAATACATTTTAAGAGACATTTTCTAGTCACAAAACAAGCATAAGGTACACTGGAAACATAAAAATAACCGTTTTTATGAGAATAACACTTATCTGTAATTATTGTCAAAACTAATTTATTTGTAACTATTTATAACTGTATATACTTCAAGTTTCAACAATATTTAATACAACTTTGCAAACTTTTTGTTTATTTTATAGGAGATTGTTTTTTTGTTTATTTTATTTGAATTGTAGCTAAAATATGAGATCTTAATTACGTAAAATAAGCAAAAATTAAAAAAATTACATTAGGAGTTTTATTTGTATTTTAAAATACATTTAACAGACACTTTTCTACCAAAAATATGCATAAATTATAAAGCAAGCAAAAGTAAACTGGGGGGGGGGGATTAAAATGACTGCTTCTATGAGAATGACCATTATCTATAAGTATAGTCAAAATTCATTTATTTGCAACTAACCATAATGATGAACTTATTGAAAGCTTATTGAATTGAATTGAAGATGAATTGAAAACTTATTGTTCAGTTTTTTTAAGATGGTTTTTCTTATATTAATTGAACTGTTAGACTAAAAATAGGATATTTTAATTAATCAAAATAAACAAAAATTTAAAATACTGTTTTTATGTGAATGACCAATGCCTATGATTATAGTCAAAACTAATTCATTTACAACTAACCATAACTGTAAAAATTTCATTGTTCTAAAATATCTAATACAGAATTTTAAATCTATTTATTTTATGTGATGATTGCTTTTTCTCATTTAATTGAATTTTTAAGCTAAAATTGAAGATTTAATTACGTAAAATAAACAAAAATTGAAAAAAAAAATTTAATTTTAACTTTTGTTTTTAATATTTTAATTTAACTGTTAAGCTAAAATATAAAATTTTAATCCTGTGTACTAAACTAAATTTGAAAAATAATAATACTAATTTTATTAGTTTTTAAATAACATTTTTAAACATACTTTCTAGTTGAAAAATAAGCATAAGTCATAAAACAAGCATTAAGTACAATGGGGGTATTAAAATAACTGTTTTTATGAGAATGACATTTTTATAATTATAGTCAATACTAATTTATTTGCATATAACCATAATTGTATACATTTCAATGTTCTAAAATAGCTTTCACATAGTTGCAAACTTATTGCTTATTTTAAGAGAAGATTGTTTTTCATATTTTAATTTAGCTGTTAAGCTAAAATGTAAGATATTAATCTCTTATACTAGACAAAAATTGAAAAATAATAATACTAATTTTATTAGTTTTTTAGAATACATTTACTTTAAAACACATTTTATAGCCAAAAAATATGCATATATCATAAAACAAGTAAAAAGTAAACTAGGGGCATTAAAAAGACTGTTTTTAGGAGAATGAATTTCTTATAATTATAGTCAAAACTAATTTGTTTGCAACTGACTATAGTAGTATAGATTTCAATAATCTAAAATAGCTAATACAAAATTGTAAACTTGTTGTATATTATCTGAGAAAATTGTACTTTTTTATTCTAATTAAACTGTTAAGCCGAAATAGGAGATTTTAATTGTTTAAAATGAACAAAAATTGAAAAAAATAACATTAATTTTATTAATTTTTTAAAATACATCTTACTTTTTCCATTCAGAAAATATGTATAAGGCATAAAACAAGCAGAAAATTCACTGTTTGCATTTAAATAACTGTTTTCATGAGTATGAACTTATCTATAATTATAGTCAAATTTTATTTATTCGCAAATAACCATAATTGTTTAATATCGCAACTGTATAAATAAAACTTTTAAATTTGACTTACATTCTTATCCAACGTGAAGCCAAGTTGATATTGAATATAATCTCTTAATTTCTACCTAACCCTTCAATCGGGTAAACATAGTTTTTGATAAGAGAAATATCTGCTTTCTATTACGTTCACGCGTTGAGATAACGCCTTCATATTCAAATTGTTTAGTATATATTGTTAGTCATACTCATAAAAACATATTTTTAAACATTCAGAAACATTAACAAATCTTCAAGAAAAGCTGAGAACAGGAAGCTGAGAACTTCCTTACAACGCCGCTCTAAAATATAGTATTCAAAAAAATTTTTCAAGGTTATTTTCGAAAGATAATTTTTTTTTCTATCGGCGAATGTTACATGTATTCTTGATTTGATAATACGTGACTCAATTTTCTAGTAACAGAGTAAAAAACGGCAGTTTGTACTTGAAGTTATAGTTTCACTCAGGGCTCGAAAAACGGCCCGTCCGCCTGTCCTCGGCGGTCAAAAATTCCCCGCGGACAACGAATTTCTCGAATCCGACGTCCGCGCGGACTGCCATTCTCCCGTTAATGTTCGTGATACATTCTCAATTTTTGTTATCCTGCAAAAGTCTAGCTCCTCACTTCTAAAATGACCCTCTAATCTAGATATACAGCAACATACTGTGTATGGAGGAATTGATGTTTTCTCTGTCTGGGAGCACTGTAGTGGTTGAAAGGGGCTTTTCAGCAATAAACTTACAAAAAAAAACAGATTACGTACCTTAAACAAGTAGAGTTATAAACGCAATTATGAATCTCTACCTAAATGGAAAACCCCTTTCAGATTTCTGTGCAGAAACCTCAGTAAATCATTGGCTTGATTGTGGAACTGGCATACGTCATATTTGATTCATTTAATAAACGCAGTACCCTCGGATAAATTGACATTCCAGATAACATGACCTTTGTCATTTAAATTATTTCATGAAAGAAATACTAGGTTACTATTAGTAACCTAGTATATACTATATAATGTAATGCGTATTACTGTATAATGTAATCCTAGTAACTACTAATTCATTGTGCAATGTATATAAATGTTTGTAATAAATAAGAGAAAATTATATTTTTATTTATTTAGAAGCGACGGGTTAGTTTCAAAGGAGGACGGGTACATTGTTGGACAAGCCGTCCTCGGGGACGGGTAAAATTTCGGAGTTTTTCAAGCCCTGGTTTAACTTATGCTCTAAGTTTTTTTTTAACCGAAAACGTATTGATCATTCTGGTAAGGAATTTCAAGGAGAGATTTAAATTTTGAAAAATATATTCTTATTTCCACAGATAAAATTTCGCACTGAATTGGCATAATACCGATTGCGTAGATGTTAAGCGGTCCTTCACAGTCGACATTTTTGACAAATAAAAAATTAAATAAAATAAAGAAATAACCATTAGAAACACTACGCATCCACACATATACACATACAGATAGATTCAAAAATGTTAAATGCATGCAAACATAATATATCGATGTCTTTGAAAAAAGTTTAAAACATATTGCTTACGTTTTGTTAATGTAGTAAAGTAGTAATTCTTTTTTTAAAAATATACTTTGAAGATGCATTTTTTGCCTCTTTTGTACGTTCAGACAAAGAATATACATAGGAGAAAAAGGCTAGCTCCGATAGACATAATGTAAACCGGTTCCCCAATGCTTGGTGTGGTCTTTGTGTATAAAGGAAAAAGCAACATTTAATGGCACAGCAGCATATGTTTTTGAAACGGGTTTCGTTCTCCCCCCCTCTCCTCCCAATCACCGCTGGGGTTGGGGAGGTGATGAAAGGTTTTATCCTTTAATTTATTGTTGGTTTGCTCTCCATTTTTCCACTCCGTCTAGCTATGGAAACAAAAATAGCACATTTCAGGGAGGGTAGCTTGTCTTTATTCTAGGGCCAACACTATAGACTGACGAAAAAGATCCCCTTTCGCTCGCCGATCCGAGTCAAAACCTCTCCAAAACAATAGCTTGGAATAGTTATACTTCGTTACCATAGTCACCGTCACTGTTCCAGACGAATGGCAAGGGGAGTTCTTACTTTAGACAAACTATACATGTAGATACCGAGTATATACGTCATCCAACTACCGGTTCACAGCTGACGTACCTCCTGACTGTCACTCTGCTTCTTATGCGCATGCGCTGGATTATAGGACACATGATATTCTGCTATATTTAAGTATGCTGCTCACCCTGTAAGTTGTTTTTCTGGTATAGCATACAGCGCTGAGAAGTTTCTCGCGTTAGTTACGTATTCGAAGAGCTGGACTTCTTCTCCTTTCTATATTCTTCGGCTCAGGGTCAGATCAGATTATATGTCCATAAATTTGATTCAGAGGATGGACTTGTAATAATTTTGCAAGTTAAATTTATTTTAATGAGTTAGATATTTGAAAACTTCTAAAATCTGAGCAGTTTCAGCAAAAAAAAAAANAAAAAAAAAAAAAAAAAAAAAAAAAAAAAAAAAAAAAAAAAAGAGATTTTGGGTTCCATTTCCTCTTTAATTTAATCCTCCTTTGCTAAAATAAATAAATATTTATATGTATAAATAAAACTGATTGCTTTGAGGAAATTCAATGTGTAACTATTTTACTTCGAAATCACTCTTTTCAACTATTTATTTCTTATTTGGAATTTTTGATTCGGTTTGTGATTCTAAGTTTTAAAATAACACAGCAGGGGCGTATAGAAATCTGAATCTAAAAATAAATCTGCTCAAAAAGTTAAACGATCATTTGTACTGTGCTCCAAAAGAAGCAGATCATCCTTAATAACTTTTGATCTAACGATCGGATCTTCACGTTCTGGGACTCATTCTTAATGATTCGAGAGGGTGATCTCAAATATTAATTAATTAGTGCGGAAGATAAATTAGGTTACGAAATCAGACGGATTTAGATTTCTGACCCACAAAATATATAGGGAATAGTCGCAATCTGGAAAATATGGTCCCAATAGTTTAGTAAGGAGAGCGATCAAAGGTTTGGACTCCTTAATATTAATTTTTATGTATTTCAATGTAGCTCGAGAACTTTTTAAGCGAATTGAAACGTTTTTGCACACAGTTATGAAATTCGTATATCCAAAGACAATTTCAAGCAAAAAAGAAAAATTATTGTCAGTGTTTATTATTTTTTAACTTTTTTAATAAATAATAGTCGAAGTTTTTTTTACATAAAAGTAAAGCATGTAATTTTGCATGGCAAAATATACAATTTGAGCGAAATCGGTTGAATACTTCTTGAGAAAAAGAATTTTAAAGTAGTCACATGTTTAATATTTGAATTTTCAAATATTAAAACTATTCAACCGATTTCACTCAAATTTTGTATTTCGCCATGTAAAATTTCCATTTTTAAAATGATGTAAAAATTGTATTCATTACAATTCAAAATATTTTCGACTATTATCTAATAAAAGAATAAAAAATATTAAATATTTGCAAAAACTTGGATAAACGAATTTTATAATTGCGTGCAAAAATTTTCAATTCGATTGAAAAGTGTTCGAGATATAGCAAAATACGCAAAAAGTAAAATTAACATTAAGGGATCCAAACTTTGAACCACGTCCTGACAAAACTATTGGGATCATATCATTCAGATTTAAGCCATATTTCCTTATATTTTGGAATCCGAGTCCGTGGGAAAAAGGTACGTTTATTCAAAGAAAATACGTTTTTGTGTATAATTTTATAATTTAAAATATCTCCTGCATAAATTAATTAGCATATTTGAGGTCACTTCCTCGAACTATTAAGATTGTGTCCTAGAAAGCAAAGATCTTTGGATCAAAAGTTATTCAGGGTGATCATTTTTTTTTCTCTCTTTTTTTTCGAGCACTGTATTGCGTTAATTGTTAGGGGGTTGGAGAAACTCTGATTAAGAATATTATGTTATATTTGAATAATCTAAGATGTCGGTGAAAAATATAATGTCAATTTATAAAAGTTTAAAAACGAAAATACGAATGTAAGGTTCTTCATTATAATTGGTAATAATTTTAGAAAAATTAACAATAAAATATGATTTTACATTATATGATAAATAATGTAAAATTTTATAAATTTATTATGATACCTTAGAGCGTGGCATAAGAAATCATTTATTCAGTTAAATTTGCTTTTCAGTTCTGTATATTTTACTAAATCTGTGATAATAGGAATTATGATTTTCAAAACCAGAATTTCTTTTGAACCGTTATGTTTTGAACGGTAAAATAATCAAATAAAAGATATAAATACGGTATATTTTGGTTTTTAATACCAGAAATGTAGTTTTTTTTATCAGAAATGTCAATAAGATACAGTACAGTAATTTTACTAGAATTTTTTTCTCCGTGCTGAGCTCTTAAGGATTTTTCACAAGAAGGCGAAACAAAATTATGTGATTATCAGCCTTGGATAGTTACATTAACTTTTCAAATCTTAATTTTTTGCTTTTGTTCAATTGTCGAATACAATTAAGATCGACGATGCTGAATAATTACCTAAGCGTAAATTACCCAAAAGCTAAGATATTTATAAAAAATCTCAAATGAATGAAACGTTTGATGCTAAAATACTTTTATGAAATTCTGACTACAAAACTCTTTAGGTTCATCTTTACAGAAAAAAATCTGTTAAAATTTTTGAATGAATAAAAATATGCCCATCATTTTGAATAATTTCTCTTTTATTATCTTACTTCATAGTCCTTAAAACATGACTAAATATTAATATCGTAGACTTAAAAATGCTTTATTTACGTAAATTGAGTTCTTAAAAGTATGAACTGCAAAAGTAAGTACAAAGAATTTTTTTCTCCCAAACATTGAAAAATTTTATTACGTGAATTAGCTTTATTTATGCTTTGTAAAAACCTTGAATGGTCCGTAAATTTCTTATCAGCAGATATATTTTAGAGACGGCCCCTTAATTTTTAAAAACTTGATTTTTCTTTAGCATAACAACTATTTCGGAGTAATANCTCCATGTTCCCACAACAAATCAATACCTCTGGGGGTACTGATCCAGGAGTTTCCTTGTCTTCTGGATTGGTTCAAAATTACAAGGCTACGGAGTTGAACATTAGTAGTCGTAAACCCATGAAATTGGGTCGGCTGTTCAACGACGGTTATAAAATAAAATAAAAACATATTGCTTACGTTTTGTTAATGTAGTAAAGTAGTAATTCTTCTTTGAAAAATATATTTTCTAAGACTCATTTTTTGCCTCTTACCTACGCTCAGACA